TTTACGAATTTACACATCGAAACTGCTGGACCATCGCTGCCAGTGTACTTAAGGTCTATGTCTGCGAGCTCCACCTTGTCACATGGAAATCCGCTGCTGCAAATCAACTTCACGGCTTCCTTGCCACTTGAAGCTCCCTTCACGTTCGTAAACTTAATATCGGAAAGCTTAACTTTTGATGGTGTCTACGAAAATGAAATGATGTACATTGTTAGGAGGTCAGAAAGAAAGAAAAGTACGATACCGCATTGTTGCAAAGTACAGAGAAACAAATACAAGTATATATACTACTTTTGTTAATTATTATGTCCAACTTTTGGTATTATTTGTAAGATATAAAAAATTCCAAAGTTAAACATAATAATTAATGAATGTAGTATGTAAGTGAATCTATTATAAATTATAGATTTACCTTTTCTATGCAGTTAGCGTAGGGGCAGTACTCTTGATCAACAATGATAGGGTTTCTAACATTTTCAACAGTGATATCCTCAAAATGCAAGTTATCAACAGTGGATGGGTAAGAGTTGTGCCAAGTTTTAACACGGACACCATTGTCGGTATCCTTGATGGTACAATGCCTTACAGTGATGTTTGAGACTGGCTCCTCATTAGGGTATCTGCCAATACTACCAACACTAATACCGTGGCCAGGTCCACAGGTGACATTTTCTACAAGGATGCTCTTAGCACCATCACCGAAGGACACACAGTCATCTCCGGTACCAATGGTGAATCCTCTTATGGTAACAAATTCTGATCGCCCGATGTGAATGCCATCTGTGTTAGGGCTGTCTGCTGGGGCCGTTATAGTTATGTCAGTCATCTCCAGGTGCTTACACCCTAGGAGTGCTATGTGAAATATCTTGCTGTCTTTTGAAGTTAAGCCGATAACCTTTGAATTTGTCACGAAATTGAACCTAAAGTTCTGCAATGCACAACATAAGTCATTAGGAATTGTATCATTTGTAAACATTCTTGGTATGAAAAATCGTAGAGACTTGATCTATAGAGGAGTTGACAGTTGACTTTTTTAGGGTTACTTTTAGCAAATAGTCCATCTTGGTGTGACCAATGTTATACAATGTATGATGAGACAAACGGCAAATCATCCCTTAACAATATAACAAGTCATCCTAGGACTAACCAAATGACTGTAACAAAGATATATCAATGTGAACTGTTGCATCAAATTAAATTTCATTACGAATAAATGACAGACTCACATTTAGAATGTGTGACATTCTTATGACCCAAGACTTCTCAAAGTATTAATAGGGATTTAAAGATCTTACATAAGGAAGGGTGAAGCAGTTGACGTAGCTCTTAACGCACTCATTCTGTTTCCAACCTTCTTGTCCTTGGCCATCAAATACACCTGCCCCTTTAGGAGCTGTGATTGTCAAACTATCGACATTTTCTACCTTAAACCATGTATCTTCGTTCTTAAACGAAGCCAAACTTGAAGGGGCCTTGAAGTTCCCTAGAATTTCTATTGTAGTTGGTGTTTGGCATGGACCTTTTAGTTTAATAGGGCCTAGCAAGTAATCTCCTTCAGGAATTAATACCTTGCTTCGTTTTTTTGATTCACATGCGTCACTCCATGCGTCTAAAAATGCCTGAAAAGTAATCAACAAACAAACACTCAATTCATTTCAGATATACATGCATTCACAAATCTATATCACATTTTAAGATATTCTTGTTTAAGATGACTATGATCTCATGTTATTGGATTAAAAATAATATCGCCTCAATTAAAATCACTCTATACTCCCCGATGAACTAGTTATAAAATTCTATCACTACATCATCTTAAACATCTCTATCTTTTCACATGCATGTCTTAATCACGTATAAGCTACTTTAATGATTATAACGTCGATCTTTCACGTATTCCTTTACCTGTGTAACATCGGCATTAGGCTTTGCACCATTTTTGGTTATGTCAAATACAATGGTATCACCTTCAGCAGGTTCCTGACCATTTATTTGTAAGACGAGCAAACAAAATGCAAGAAAAAACAATGTGTAATTAAATTTAGTAGCCATTTTTTTCTTACAAGAATTGGCTATAAAACTAGTTAAAATATTTTGATCTATGATTTTCTTTGTAAAAACTGCGATATATATAGTCAACAGTTTATGTTAAACATAGGTTAAGACACTCAATTGTTTAAATTTGTTCTGTTCGCTGCCATGAGTTGTTTACTAAATATATCACTAATTCTTGTTTCGCTCCATTATGAAGAATAGAGGTTAACCATTTTATTAAACCTATTATAAGTGTTGCTAAAAATACATAATATATTAATATACCAACACTAATATAAACCATAGAAGTTTGAGTGTCGAAAGGGTCAAACGGACAAAAATGTGGAAGACATTCAAGGAAAAGAGACTTATGACGCTTGTTTACACTTGATTATAGCAAAATACTTCCTCCAATTACTGTCATATTTGTCTTGTTTCCTCCAAAATAATTTTATAAAGGTGTTGTTTAGGATATCTAAGATAGATAATATCAAGACCTTGACTCCAATAATTTGTTTCTCTGTGCTCCCTCGGTTTTTTTAAATATAAATTATATAATTAATTACTTTGTTATCAGCATAATTTTGTATATTGAATTGAATTGACTAAATATGAAAGTATATACATAGATTAAGAAAGAGATAGTGTATCAACATTGAATGTGAAAGGAGATAAGTGGAAGCAATGCTTTAAAAAAAAAAAAAAAAAAAACAGAGATAGTGTATCTCCAAGATGATTTTTTTGTATGGTGTTGTTATCGTTACTCTATAGTCTATACTCAATCGGCACCATCAATTAGTTTGTTTTCGGTACTCCGTAGTCTGTACTCAATCAAAGTACCATAATCAAATAGTACAAGTCTCTCGTGCCAAATCATCGAGAGACTTGTGATGTTCTAGCCCACACTTTTTTATATGCAAATGAGGGATGAACCCAAGAAATACATTATCCTCTTCAATTATGATTATTGTTGGTGATAGAAGATCATATCCAAGGACCCTCCATGTTTCCACAAATCGAGTCAATTAAAAAAAAACATTGATATTAATAGGAATACTAGAGTTTATGTTAATTAACTACCGCGGTTCTAGCCCAATCCTTTACTAGTCAATTAAGAGGACATGCTCTCAAACAATCTTCGAAACTGTGAATCCTATTAAGGTGTGTCTAATCTAGCTTTGCAAAACCCGTATTATGGAACGAAAGAATTGAAATTGGTAATGGTACGGGTTGCAAATTTGCAATAATGTCCTTCGATCAGGTTGCACTCCTCTTGATAAATAGTTTATTTGAAGGTTCAAATCTAGATAATTAGTTAATTCAATTATGTTGAGTAATAGGAATGTTTATTTGGAAATTGCTGATTTTAATTTCCTAAAACTAGATTTACGAGTTTATATAATCAATAATCCAAGGGTTAGGGCTTTATTATGACTTTATAAATAAGTGAGAAATATAATTATGAGTCAATTTTGTATCAAATTAAAGTAAGAACCCTAAACATAAGCACCTAGCTTAGCCATGAAAGCGAGAGGGAAATTGGATCATGCTTCTCGAACAGTAGTTCTAAGCTAGCAAACTCACTGGGAATTCGGTCTTTGTCGTATGGATTTCGATAGAGCTAAGACCACTCTCAATGGTGAGCAAAAAAAATGCCCACCCACTATCTCTCTACCCACTTTCTCTCTCAACAAATCTGTTTTGCCCATGGGCAATTTTTTTTTCACAACTTCTCTCCCAATGGTGAGCAAAAAAAATGCTTGCCCACTACTCTCTTTCTCTTACTTTTTCAATACCCCACCATTACTTTCTCTCTCCTACACAACACTTCTTTATTTATTAATTTCATTTATATTTTAACAATATTACTCCAAATAAATAAAAACTAGTCTAAATTTGTGTAACTTATTTTTTTTTATTTGTGTCGTTTTTATCGTTAAAATAAAGAATATGGAGGATTTATGGTATTTCTGAAATTGTACCAAAATACACCAAAATGCATGTCTATTTATAGAAAATTAAATTTTATGATCGTTGGTAATTTTATTTTATTTTTTTATAAATATTTATTTCAGAATTTGCATTACAAAAAATATAACCATTGCAAATTATGGGGCCCACCAGAGCACTATTCATCCTTTATTTTGCTCATCTCATGGGAAAAATAACAAATGCTCATGGGCATTTTCACTTTTGCTCACCATTGCAAGACTACTTCTACCAAAATGCCCACAAAAATGTCCATGAGCATTTTATTTTGCCCACCATTGTAAGTGCTCTAAGGGATAGCATTTGACGTCCTTACATTGTGATTGGTTGGATTGGTTAAGAGAACACGCATCAAAGGTATAATCAATTTAGCCCCTTAAACCAACAGTTGTCACACTTTGCTAATTTCCTTACAAAGTCTTTATTAATTATTACAAGTTCACAACCATCTTGCGAGGGTATGTTAAGGATGTCAAGGATAATATCAAAAGTGTGATGACTTTATATTAATTTGTACATCATCCGATCTTTTTCATCTTACTATAACCTTTTTTTTTTTTTTGACACATACTATAACAATTTAAACCATGGAAAGAACATACTAAAATGAAAAGTCAGAAGAGGAAAAAAAAAAAAAAAAAAAAAAAGAAAAAAGAAAAAAGAAAAAAGAGGGAGTATATATTATATTGTGATCATAATATAATCCTAGTTTGATTTAAATTAGCGATCTACATATGCATTGTTGTAAAGTATCCTTTACAAAGAGTATAAAATTCTTTTTTCTTAGCTTAGAATATCACAAACATAATAATAGCCATTAATTTGTAATTATATATTCTCTTTCATTATTAATACAAAGGCTACCATTCTTCTAATATTTCAACGAGAAGAGGAACATGAATTTCTGTGGCAAATTCACATTTTCTCTTGCTTTTTTTCACAAGCAATAGATGAATATTTGTAAAATCTTACAAAGCATTCGAAGTCTATGCTAAATTGCTAGACTGCTTATTAAAGATACTACAAGGTAAAGCTAGAGACTACAATTCAACAACAGGGGTAGCAGGAGCATCACAAGCAGGTGGATTCTGCTTTCCAACAAGAGTAGGCTTTACGAATTTACACATCGAAACCGCTGGACCATCGCTGCCAGTGTATTTAAGGTCTATGTTTGCGAGCTCCACCTTGTCACACGGATATCCGCTGCTACAAATCAACTTCACGGCCTCCTTTCCACTTGAAGCTCCCTTTATGTTCATAAACTTAATGTCGGAAATCTTAACTTTGGATGATGTCTGCGAAAATGAATTCATATATCAAATTGTTAAAAGGCCAAAGAAGGAAAAAAAAAAAAAAAAAAAAAAAACATACTTCCTTGGTTGCTACTCCCTCATCAGTCCCTTTTTTTTCACCATGGACCCACTTTTTGTGAGAGTTTTATGAGTTATATGGTACAAACAAATAGGGACAGAGGGAGTAATACTACTCATATCTTTGCACGTGAAAAAGTATTGCAAATATTTAAAAATGAATGGAAAATAAAAGTGTTGCAAGTATTCATCAATAGCGAAGGGGAGTATAGGAAATATATCTATCATTCGTGTTTTGGGCTTACCTTTTCTTTGCAGTGATCGTGGGGGCAGTACTCTTGATCAACAATGACGGGGTTTCTAACATTTTCAACAGTGATATCTTCAAAATGCAGCTTGGTAACAGTGGATGGATATGAGTCGTGCCATGTTTTAACACGGACACCATTGTCCGTGTTCTTAATGGTACAATGCCTTACAGTGATATTCGACACTGGATCCTCATTAGGATATAAGCCAAGACTCCCAACACTAATGCCGTGGCCAGGTCCACAGGTGACATGTTCCACCAGGACGTTCTTAGCACCATCACCGAAGGACACACAGTCATCTCCGGTACCAATGGTGAATCCTCTTATGGTAACAAATTCTGAACGCCCGATGTGGATGCCATCTGTGTTAGGGCTATCTGCTGGGGCTTTTATAGTTATGCCACTCATCTCCAAGTGCTTACACCCTAGGAGGGCTATGTGAAATAGCTTGCTGTCTTTTGAAGTTAAGCCGACAATCTTTGAATTCGTCACAAAATTGAACCTAAAATTCTGCAATGCATATCATACTATTAGTAATTTCATATTTTGCAGACAAACTTGGTATGTGAAATCGACAAAATCGTAGTTTTTTTTTTTTTTTTTTTTTTTTTTTTTTTTTGGAGCGGGGATAACATTAAGCAAAGTCTCGAGTATATATATGACCAATGTTTTGCAATGTGAGGTTAGGCATACAACAAGCCACCTCTCAACGATATAATTAATAAGTCACCCCAAGATTAACCAGCAGATGACAATGTCGAAAATGGTTAATGCAAACAATCACATAGATAATTTTTACAAGTATATGACGAGTCACATTAAGTTATTACAACTTGTGACATTCTTTGACCCAAGACCTCTCAAAAAGTTATAGGGATTCGAAGATCTTACGTAAGGTAGGGTGAAGCATCCGACGTAGCTCTTAATGCATCCATTCTGTTTCCAACCCTCTTTTCCTTGGCCATCAAATACACCTGCCCCTTTAGGAGCTGTGATTGTCAAACTATCAACATACTCTACCTTAAACCATGTATCTTCTTTCTTAAACGAAGCCAAACTTGAAGGGGCCTTGAAGTTTCCTAGAATTTCTATTATAGTTGGTGTTTGGCATGGACCTTTCAGTTTAATAGGACCTAGCAAGTAATCTCCTTTAGGAATTAGTACCTTGCTTCGTTTTTTTGATTCACATGCATCACTCCATGCGTCTAAAAATGCCTGAAAAGTAATCAACAAAAAAAAGTGTTCAATTTATTTCAACTGTACATTCACAAATTGATATTACAAGTTGTCAAATAGCTATAAAAATTCGTCTTTAGGTCATCTAACACATCCCTATATATCAATGTACACGCCGGTCTCAATCACATAGAAACTACTCTTTGTAATCATGACGTTGATCTTATAGGAGGAAATACAAGTTGATCTACTAGATCAACAAAAATTGTCAATCATAAGGGCGTTGTATGTTTTTCCTTAGTATTGGACAATTTGGTAAAAGCATAAGCATGATTAGGCAATATTGCCAAATCACCATCGCCATTTTCCAGTTGAACGGCAAACTTACCACCATAAACACCAAGCTTGATGCCTAACGTAGCGACCACAATCACCACCACTATGACACCCCTATTGTCGGCAACCACCAGCAAGAAGGCATCGGTGGTGAGCACGGTACGACATCCTTTTTTTAACTTTTTATTCTATTTTATAAATGGATGACGATTTTCGAAATTTTCCTACAGAAATTGAAGCTTCAAGGGTAGCATTAATGGATAGGATAGCACCCTTTCGTCCCTTTAGGTTTAACCATGCCCTTAATTTTACCTTTTTAACATTGGAATTTCGTTTAATTTGGCGGCGAAGCCGTCGTGATGTCGGCGGTAAAAAATGATGGTTTCGCTTAAAGGTGGAAATGATGAAGATGGTGTCAGTGGATCGGAACGAGGAGGTGATGCAGATGGTGTCTGCATGGTGGAATTGGTGGTGTCGGTGGAAGGAAGTGGGAGGTGTCAGTGGAAGGAAGGTTAGTTGAAGCTTCAATGGAATATTAAGGTCTAATTTGATGACTAAGCAGTGACTAAGCATTACTAAACAGTGACTAAGCATATATAGATTGACAAAATTTGTTGATCTAATAGATCAATCGGGGCTCCCTCGATCCTATAGTGTTCCTTTTACCTGTGTAACATCGGCTTTAGGCTTTGCACCATATTTGGTTATTTCAAATACAATGGTATCACCCGCAGCAGCTTCCCGACCATTAATTTGTAACACGAGCAAATTAAATGCAAGGAAAAGCAAAATGTAATTTAAATTCGCAGTCATTTTTTTAATTTTTTTTTCTCTTAGAATAATTAGTTTATGAAACTAGTAGTTGAAATATTATTGCTCTATGTTTTTTTTTTTGTTAATTCTACAATATATATACTAAACAGTTTCTGGTAAACATATAATTAGGCCAAGCAATTTCTTAATCTCTTTTGTTCTCTGCCATGAGTTATTTACTAAATATATCACTTATTATAACTTACTTGATGTAGAACAAGAGGTTAACCATTTTAAGAAACCTATTATAAGTGTTGCTAAAAATACATATTATAACTACACTTATAGCATCACTGTACAGTCGATATCTGCTTTTAGAAAATATATGTCACTCCTAGAAACAATGTAAGACGCTAGAATTATCAATCGACTTATCTGCTTTTAGAAAATATATGTCACTACATCCATTAATTTTTAGTTGTAATAAAGGGGTATTAATTATTTGTGAGATATAAAAAAATTCATTTGTTACAACCAGAAATTAACAGAGGTAGTAATTTATTTTCTGTAGTACCTACAAGCTAATTAAGGCTTCAAGGTGGTTATTTTTTCTAGACAATGGTACAAATGAATTTAATCTAACACAATAATGGAAGAGTTGTTTTCAAAGTTTTCACCACAGCTCTCTTAATCTTCAATTCTTTAAAATGGACAGATGAAATAAACATAAAGTATCACAAACTTTGTAAACATAAAATATACATATTCACGTATGTTACTTTGACTACTTTTGATGATTTTTGTACTTAAAAAATACGAAGTATATATATAGTTATGTGGATCTCTTTAAATTCGTCTTAATATATACTTTTAGTTATTGATAATAAGAGATATAGGCAATTAAAGGATGTATTGACAAGCGTGAAATGAGAAATGTTGCAAATAAGACAGATGAAGTATTTTACTACACAGAAACTCTTGTGTACACCAGGTGTATTTATAGTGATATTACTTTTTTTTTTGGTGGGAACGAGGGGCAAGCCCCAAAAAACAAGAGAAAGCTACGCAACTAGAAAGAGAAAAAAATACCAAAATAAAAAGAAAACACAGCCTACTATCCTACTCAACTATAGGCAATTTCCTCGAAAGGCCACTCCCTTAAGATCCTCCAATAAAACGACACGAAGATCCTCCGGGACCGCCTCAAAGATGATCATATTCTGCTCCATGTTGACTCCAAAGTTAACTAACCAATCAGTTACCCTATTGGCTTCCCTGTAGCAGTGCCCGATAGTGACTTTCCACCCTTGTCTTTTAATCAAAGATTTGCACTTTCGAATGATATGAATAAAAGGAGAGTTAGTAGGAATAGGATCTACTAACATACGAACTACCACCTCCGAATCCACTTTGACTTGAACTCTTCGGTGTCCACCATTCCAAGCAATAGCAAGGCCACGCAATACAGCTAATAACTCCACCCTTGTGCAAGTGCATGACCCACAATTGAGAGCAAACACCTCCCGGGCTTCCCTCATATGATTACACCTCCTGCACCAGCTGGCCCAGGATTCCCCTTTGACGCTGCTTCCGTTTGCAAACACTCCCAGCCCACTGGTGGAGCTTCCCATCTAACAAGAATATCCTCTCTTTTCCTCTTACCCCTCTTATCAGCATCCCTATCGTAGGCCTTACGAATATCTCTAACTCGAGCCAAAATGAAACAAGCTTGATCAATAAGAATATTCGCTTCTCTGTTGAAACTTCGAGCATTCCTCCAACACCAGAGCCACCAACAAGTCACCGCAAATATTAAATTCCAATCCTCTCTATCATAGTAGCCTCTAACTCGCAAATTCTTCATAATCCACTCCTTGAAAGGAACATTGAAATCCAAACTATTCACATTCACATCGAGCTTACGCCAAACTGCCGTAGCTGCTTGGCATCCCCACAGTATATGTTCTGCATTTTCCTCTACAAAACCACAAACCAAGCATCGAGGATCCATTGTCATGTGCCTAAAGAACCTTGCTGCGTTTGTCATTAGCCTCTCTCTGTATGCTAACCAAGAAAAAACGCATCCTTTGTGGTACTTGGAGTTTCCAAATAATGTGCCAAGGAGTATCATCTTCATCATTGCTATTTTCTTCTCGGATTAATTCCATTGTCGACTTCAGGGTAAAGCCTCCGGAAGGGGAACCATTCCAAAATATCGTATCAAACGCCTCCTCATCCTCTATAAGTTCAAAGGCTTGGATGGTCTTTAATATCTCACCTGGCATGTAATCAGCGAAAAGCTCAAATTTCTACCCTCTTTGTCTATCCCACATGTCGTAAACTTTAAATCCCGGTGTTTCAGCAGGCGGATCATGAATCACTTCAATGATTAGGGGACCTTTAATAGCCCAATTGTGTTGCCAAAAAGTCGTAGCTTTTCCATTCCCAACAGCAAAGCTTAATCCTTTCATTCTTCAGTACATCAATATTTTCAACAATTCCTTTCTAAGCATTAGAAGAGTCCACCTTAGGCTTGAACATGTCTATGTCGCACCTTCCTCCGCAATACTTATACCGAAGAAATCTCGACCAGAGGGAATTTTTTTCAGCTAACACCCTTCATCCCAGTTTTAACAGAAAGGTCGCATTTGATTGGCGCATAGAACGAAGCCCCAACCCACATTCACTCTTTGGCTTTGCCACTGTATCCCAAGCCACAAGATGAGTCCTTCTCTTTTCCTCGGTACTTCCCCATAGAAAAGCCCTAGTTTTCTTGTCAATTGCATTGCAAATACCTCTATGTACCCGAGCTGATTGCATAGTATAACCCGGGATTGAAGAAATTGAAGCCTGAGCTAACGTTATGCGCCCAGCCATCGAGAGAACTTTCGATTGCCAGTCACCCAATTTAGCATTAATCTTATCCACAAGGAATTGATACGTAGCCTTCGTGACCCTTCCATTTATCGTAGGCACCCCCAAATATTTGCCGAAATCTTCTATGTTCTCCATATTTTATTCTTGACAGACCGCATCTCGCACATCATAATTCGTATTTGGGGAGAAATAAATCCGGGACTTATCTAAGCTTAATTTGCTACCAGAGACTAGACAAAACGAATCCTAGCAACTCTTCATCAATCGTGCTTGCTCCACGTTTGCCTCACAAAACAAAATCAAATCATCCGCGAACGCAAGATTTGTGATTAGGGGACCTCCTGAACTTGCATAAGCCAGCTTCCAACAACCAAAACTAACCTCTCTATCAATTAGATGGGTCAATCTTTCCATACAGATAACATATATGTATGGGGCAAAGGATTGCCTTGCCGAATCCCTCTCGAAGGTGAGAAATAAGGAGTTGGTTCACCATTCCAAAGAACGCTTAACTTAGCCGAAGAGATGCACATCATAACAATGTCAGTCATTTGCTGGGGTAACCTAAGTTCCAAGAGAGAATCACGAATGAAAGACCATCAAAGCCTATCATAAGCCTTTTCGAAGTCGATTTTAACTGCCATATAACCCACCTTTCCTTGCATTCGGCGCATAGAATGGAGCATCTCTTGAACAATTACCACATTTTCAGTAATTTGCCGTTTTGGAACAAATGAACACTGAGTAGGAAAGATCAACTGAGGTAGCAACGGTTTAAGACAGTTCACAATAACCTTAGTCACAATCTTATATGTAATGTTACATAGTCCATCTTGGGAATTAAGACCTAGAATGCATCATTATATTAATGCCTTCTGGAAAACATCGACCTTCCAAAATATCAAGTACCACTTTGATCAAATTTTGTTTGACCACATCCCAAAACCTCTGGTAAAATAGTGGCTGGAAAGCTTTGTATGGGTTCATGCTATGAGGAGCCTTATAAATCTCGCAAATTTCAAACGGCCTAGTAAGAGTTTCCTAATCATCAGTTTCAACGCGAGGGAAATTGTCCCTTAACAGCTCCAGACTCGAGTTTTGTTGCCCTTCCTCCGCGAACAAACTTTTCCAATATTCCAGAATTTCACTTTGCACTTGATCAATTCACTCAGCCACACACCTTCAGCATTCATCAAGGTCTCTATTCGGTTTCTCTTTCTTCAAATAATGGTAGAAAGATGGAAATACTTGGTATTTTGATCGCCATCACAAATAGCATCAGCCCTAGATATTTGAAACCATAGAGTTTCTTCTTGGTCTAACACCTGATTCATCTCCACTCTTAGCTTCTCTTCCAAACAAGGCCCTCCATTCGACAAAGATTTTTTAATGCCCTCTAAATGAGCCATCAGCTCAGCCTTCTTTCTAAAAATATTATGGAATATCTCCTTATTCCATTCTGTCAATTTCCGAGCAAAAACCTTCAAGTAAGGCACTATCTCTTCTCGATTATTCCAATTAGAAACCACAAACTCTTCGAACTTCTCATGATGAAGCCAAGCAGCCTGAAAGCAAAATGGCTTAAACACCACAGGGATGGGGGTAAATCCGGTAGTGCTTATCAAGATTAGACAATGGTCCGAGGTGAATTTAGGCAAATTTCTAACTGCTCCTTCCGCAAACCTCAACCTCCAATCATCATTCAAAAGTCCTCGATCCAGTCTTGCTGATTTGAAGGTGGTGGGAGATAGCCCCCTAAACCATGTATGCGCAGGTCCGGAACACCCCAAATTTATCAAACCATTGGAATTAACCTAATCACAAAAATCTCGACACCTTTTTTAATTTACATCTCAGAACCTCCAACACCCGATCTCTCTGACATATACTTTGTGTCATTGAAATCTCGAGCAAGTAACTACAGACCATTATAATTGTTTTTGATATTTTCAAGTTCTTTCCAAAGATCTTTTCTCAAAGAGTTCTCCAAACTAGCATAAATTGCAGAGAATAGCCGAGGTTCCTCACCTCTTTTCTCAATCTCCACCGTTACATGTTGAGAGTTGTTGTCAAGAAATGTAGCAGACACCTCTTCGTTCTTCCAAAATACCCAAATATCGCCACTAAAGCCTTGATCCTCTACCCTTGTCTGCCCCAAAAATCCAACTCTGTCAATTCTCTTACCATGACCTTTTTATTTTTTTTCATTGTTACAATTCTTTTTTGTCGAACAACTACATTTTCCTGTCATAGTACTCATTCAAACTCACTAATTTTATTATTATTATTATTATTATTATTATTATTATTATTATTATTATAAAAAGGATTTTCAAAAGATTTACATAAAATTAGTGGGAAGCCGAGAAACAATTTGGACCCTCACTCCTTTTGCTATAGCAAAGCTAATCCTAACAAAGATGTGGGCAGCTGCTCTAGCCCCGATATTCTAAGTCTGAAAGAACTTCTGTACCCGCTTAAGCAAAGCAATAGCATCTGTCTCTAATTCTCCCAATGAAGTAAAGGAGAAAGGAATAAAATCATACCCAATTGTCTCACACTTAGCCTGATGCTTTGCACGTTTGCGATGAGCCGCATCTATCACCACACGACCAAGTACGAAATCAGACATCGCAGACTGTGACAAGGGCGATGACCCAGTCAGGCCAACACACATCTAGCCCCTATCCCATGAGTAGAGTAATATGTCCGCAGGACAGATAGGCTTATCTTGCCCACCACATAGCCCAATGTCTTTCCCTCTTATATTTCTAATTTTTCAATAAAATACTAACTTCACTATATTATATTATATGATTTTTTAAAACCAATTACCCTCACTTACCTTTTATTATATTAAAATCAATTACATTGCTTATAATTATATGTTGGTCAATATGTAACATCAAAATTAAAGTAGCGTAAACCAAACAATATTAATTATATGGTAACTTTTCAACATTTTTGAGTAAATTTTAACCCGTATTATATTAGAAGTAATTGGACAAGTTTATCTTCATACACTAGGAACGGATTTGATTTTTACTCTTTCAAAAGAGTACTCCATAAATTTATCAATAAAAAATAGCTAAGATAACTTTTACATATATTGGGATAACTTTTTATTATTCTAGAGTGACTTTACCACACCAATATAGACGTACAATTTTTTTTACATCCGATTTATTCAAATGTTTGTCATTACTATTATATACCATAATACTTCCTTTAGTACATAATATGTTAGGGTTGGTGAGTGCACAGCGGAAGCAAATTAAAGATGTAGAGATTGATAAAATAATTAGGAGAAAGATAAAGGCATAAGTTTTGAAGAAATTGACACGATATTTGACGTGGGAAAAAAAAAAAAAAAAAAAAAAAAAAAAATCACGACGACAAGCACCCAAAATACTCCACTATATGAAAAATAGAAGAGTACAAGAACCCTTGAAAGGGTGAGTATTACAAGAAAACTCAAGGGTGGGTATTACAAGAGAACTCACAAAGAAGTTGTATAAAAATAAGGATAGTGGATTAGGGAGATTATGTGTATGTAGAAACTCCGATCCGATCGTGATATGAATGGAGGGACACTCATAAAGTGTATAGTATTGGAGTATTGGAGGATATGTAGGTGGATACATGCTTGCAAATGATGCCCAACACTACTATTTGTAGGTGATATATGGAGGTGGAAGAAGTGTGTGGAAAATTCTACACACATGTTCTTTAAATTGCCACATAAATCTAGAATCTTCAGGACCATTCACTAAATTGTAAATTCTTTAATTCTCCATCAATTTCTCAATATACGAGAATTTTCTAGAAATTTTTGGATACCTGGAGACATAATTAATTGGGCTTGTGAAATTTGGGCCACATTAACCCAATATAATATTCTTTAATTTCTACTTATTACAGCTACTAAAGAAAGGAGAGAACAACTCAACAAAGTTAGTTGTTTCTGTTTTTTTTTTTTTTCATTTCTTGTTTCGTTTTTTTAATTGGGAGAGAGAATTATTGCTTATGGAAAATGATTTAGAATGATATGATCCCTAGCTATGTTGAGCCTCAACACCTTAATCAACTAAGCTAAATATAGAATTTTAAAAAATTTCTTGAAACTACACTTTGTTCAGAACATTTAAATTAGTTTTTAAGAAACTAAATTTGTTCGAGACACATTCAGGACACGTAGAGATCGAAATGCTGGCCTGGAGACAAATTAAATTGAATATCATACTCAAATATTCAAATTGATACTTCGTAAATTTCTACTCCCTTAATTTCTTATGAATCGCAACAATAACGATAAGCTTTTTTATTTTCTGAATGAAATTTATCCGGTAAGCTAGCCAAATATACTCAACTCATAAAATTGTGATTAACATGATGTAAACGGGAGTTATTGTACATTTGTTTTATTTTTATTTTGATCCTACTCCGTTATTCTATATTGTTTACTAATTTAAAATATGGACTTTTGCTTTTCATAAACTTGAGATTTATTCTTAGATTACCATAAGTTCGAGAATATAGTTTGATCCCACGTATAAGTATAAAAAGTTTTGTCAATTCCTTTTTTTAATAATGTGTGCGTAAAAAGATTAAAAATGTAAGACATACATCCTTCATTCACACAAACAATAGAATTGTTAGTGTATCAATCAAGTTATATTATTGCATAAATTCTCTTACAATCATATGTTATCAAGGCATCCACAAATTAGTCTTGAAAAGGTACTAAACCAAAGACATCCTAGTACACATCTATGCAGTTGACAAAATTATACGAGTACAGCTCAGCGGTCAAATACTTGATACGTACAAACGTAAAGTGCATAGTCAATTGATTACGAAGATTTTGACGCCCTAGAATCAGAATCCTGAGCGGGTGCACCACATGCAGCAGGGTTCTGCTTACCAGTAATGATTGGCTTAACATTTTTACACTCTGAGACGGCAGCCCCACCAGAGAAAGTCAAGTCGATGTCAGAAAGCTCGACCTTGTCACAAGGAACTCCACTGCTGCACAACAGCTTCACTGCCTCCTTTGAAGTTGCACTTCCTCTTACTCTTTTGAAACTGATGTTGCTGAGCTTAACCTTTGATGGTGTCTGAAAATAAAACATATATTAGTGTACAACTAAAGTGTGACATTATAAATAATTGTTCAATTGATAACCTTATCCTTGCAGTGTTCGTAGGGGCAGTACTCTTGATCGATAATAACAGGATTAAGCACATTTTTAACAGTGATGTCCTCAAAATGAAGATCAGTACCAGTTGCTGCATAAGAGCCTCTCCAACTCTTGATTCTAACACCGTTGTCGGTATTAGTAAAGGTGCAGTTCTTAACAATGATACCTTTGTTAGGAGCCTCATTCGGGTACCTACCCATGCTTCCAATACTGATACCATGACCAGGACCACATGTGATACCTTCAATGTGTACGTCGACAGCTCCATCGCCCATAGAGATACAATCATCTCCTGTACCGATCTTTGAATTGGTGACAAACACCCCGTTTGAACGTCCAATGTGCATACCATCTGTATTAAGACTGTCTTTTGGTGCTTCGATAGTTAACTCGTTTAGTGTTAAGTTTTTGCACCCCAAAACTCCCATGTGATATAGCTTGCTGTTCAACGATTTGATCCCGTTTATTTTACTGTTTGTTAGCATGTTGAACCTGAAATTCTGCACACATAGTTGTAATGACATGATTGATTAGGGCTCCTGAATAAAAATATCTAATTATTAATATCCTGTTTCATATTATTTGCAACAATTTAATATAAAGTATGAATAGAAAATGTCTAATTGTTGCAAATAATATGAAACGGAGGTAGTATATTACTATATTATAAATCTCCTAAATGTAACAAAGGTGACATACGTAAGGAAGATTGTTGCAAGAGCCGGTCTTAGCACAATCATTCTGCTTCCACGCCGATTGTCCTTGACCATCAAAAGTTCCACCACCGGATAGACCATTGACAGTAAGACCCTCAACGTTTTCAAACTTAACCCAAGTATCTTGGCCTTTAAACTGGGCTACTTGTGGTGGTGCTTTGAAGTTTCCTCTAACTTCGATAGTAATCGGACCCTTGCAAGGACCCATAAGCTTCACAGCATTCAACAAGAAGGTTCCTTTAGGTACTACAATCGTTGTAGGTGCTTTTGCTGCACATGCTTTTTTCCAGGCACCCAACAAGCCCTGAAACAATATCACATATACATCTTAGTAAGCAAAATTCACGACATTTCAAAAAAAAAACATCATCATCAAGGGGGACAAGAACTACGTTACTTGTCACATGTTGAAGAATAACACAAATCTGAATCAATCAAGAAAGGAAAAATGTACCTGTGTTGCATCTGCATTAGGCTTAGCACCAAATTTTGTTATGTCGACGGCCTTATGGGATCTTACGACTATAAAAAATGTAAAAAACAAGCTAATCAACAATGGGAGATTGGGAGTTTTCATTTTTTTTCTTTTTTTTGTTTTTTTTTTTTTTTTTTTGGGTTTTTTTAAAAAAAATTATTGTTTTTTTTTTTTTTTTGATTTTTTTTTTTTAATTATGATCATAGACATAAACAACTGCTGCTTATATAGTAACAGCTGAAATCCTCCACCACTCAAATGTTGATTCAGTTTCAAGCAAGTTGCTAAATTTAAGCTAAGTTTGTGGTTATTGCAAATTAAAATTAATTTCAGATACTTCCTTTCACCTTGATACACTCCTATCCATTGATAAACTAAACACGTGTTACATTAGTTTTTTTTTTCTGTTGGAACAACATTTGTGTAACAAATTTGCATGTATTTCATAAGGTTTTACGTCATTCCGAGTTGTGTAGTTTAACGACACGGTTATAAGTTGGAGGATTACTCTCTTCGTCCTACAAAAACCTTGTCATTTCTTTTGGACTGGCGTGCCAACACTCAACTTTAACCATTTAAGGAGTATATTTTTAATTATTTATTAGCAAAAATTAAATTACATTTTAACAATATACAATAAAACTGATGCAACAACATTTTCATAGTAGCAGTTGTTGATTATGTGTTATAAAAATAAATTGGTCAATCGTATAAGCCTATGAATAATGCAAAAGTTCAAAGTTAATTAATTTTTGTGAGGAAAGTGACTGTAGGCTTGTAGCACATCCGCACATACCTGTATAATTTTGTTCACGCTAAAGTACACGAGAAGTGCTTGAAAAAATTGAGAATAAATGATTAGTGTCTGCGAGTGATGAAGGCGGCACATTCGTGTGTCCTTTGGTTAGCTTGGTTCATCGCATTGTTTTGTTGTAGCACCATGTACATTTCTTTGTTGTACAACCGTGCATGTTTATGCTTTGTAATTATTGATTATTACGTATGTACTAGTGAACACACTTGCTTGAGAAGTTATAGCTAAATTATTGATGTTGATGTTTTTGATATCAAAACACAACCCTATTGAGAAACCATAAAAATTGGTCAAATTTGCTGCTCTCTTCTAAGTTTTTCTCAAGTATGAGAGAATTATGATAAACACATTCACAAGTCATTGTTAGACAAGCCTTATGTGAGTAATCGAGTCTTGTTAATTGTATCTCACCATACACCTCTAGTCGGTGCTTAATACTTCCTTCGTTTGTTTTAACTTGCAACAATTTCACTGTATAATTTGAGAACTTAACAAATTTTCATATACATTTCTTTAATGATAAATCATCAAAGTTAGTCAAAGTACAACCAGTGAGTATTGCATACATAAAAATTCACAATTTTCTTATAGGGAGTAATTCAGATGGAGCATTTCCTTCCAACATTGGTCCCCATCCAACAGTGCTAAAAAAATGCAAGCAATCAACGTTTCTGCCCTTCCTGGTTCTATGTTGCGCAGTAATACTTGTCAGTTGTCACCAATTTTTTTTAATGTTGTATTTTTAGAGATTATGGCAAAGTAGATTTGAGTTTAAATTCTAAGGAAATCAAAGCGTTAATAAGACTTTCCACAACAGTAAAACTTGGCCTTGTATTATAAAATGAGTAGTAAAATTTTATATCAAGTCTATGAAATCATTAGCAAACTGTTTCAACCTATTCTCAACTCTAATTTGCATTGAAGACTTTAGGATTTAGGAAGATGTAAAAATCGCCAAATATACATCTCGAATCCAAAAATGAAGGTAGAGCTTAGCTTATAAGAGCTACTCCTATCGGAATTTATAAGTTATCCGCTCAATCCCGCCCATAAAGGGCCTAAGTGGCTCGGGAATGATAACCGAGCCATCCTCTTGTTGGTAATTCTCCAGCAAACAAACAATCATACGTGGCACTGCACATGCTGTAGCATTTAGAGTGTGCACGAACTGTGTTGGGGTATTCTTAGCCTTCTTCTGATTCATAGACGGCAATTCTGGGCGGTATCGGATCCCTAACCGACGACTTTGATAGTCCGTACAATTTGAGGCGCTTGATATCTACACATGAAATTCAGGAATCCAAGCTTTACATAAAGAACCAAGATTCTAAGATGGTGAATCAACCAGCATCTTTATATTTTGGAGAGGTGCATATACACAACTACCCCCTATCTTAGAGATATTGCAGAACATGGAGGGGTGGTGAGAAACATAGAACCCGAGACTGGGTGTGTGGAAGAAAGGTCAGAGCGACATAGGTGCATAGCGAAGCTTTACCACAGGAACACAGTTCTCAAAAAAAAAAAAAAAAATGTAATGCAAAAGATAAGAGTGGTAGACATTTAGGATTTGTAGTTCATCCAAGAAACCAGGATTCCATTGATCAAGACTCAAGAGCATATTGTTCCCCAAATTGGTTGTGTTAGAATCTTATATGGTCTTTTACTAGAACCCAAAAGGAAACAAGGCACTATATTACGCTTGAGTACAGTTTTTTTATGGAAGATAACAATCTAGACTTCAGAGGTGGCAAATTGGTCCTTCTGATTGGGATCGGGCTAGGTCCATTCACTAGGCAACATATTCAGGCAGTGAATCGTTTGGTTCAGTTCAAGTCATATTCAGATCTATCATCAATTTGCTTCGCATAAAAATTCAAATCAATTTTGATCAATAAATTTGGTCAGGATGGGTAGATGTCAGGTTGCCTAATTTTGGGGTTCAGGTTTGGACCAGGCTAGTTTGCGTCAAGTCAGATCGTTCCAGTCAAGTCACTTTTGCTTGGTCTAGATAACACTAATGTACTGATTGTCCAAAGCTCAAAATTGCTACTCATTTAACCTATATTCACAAAGATAGAGAAAGTCAACATACCTCACCATAACGTTCCAATCCTGGCATCCATGCTTCCACATCAAACTTACGGAAAGCAGGAGCCCCTAGATCTGCAGATGACATATCCAGGGTTCTGCCACAACCAAAAGTAGATAACAACATTATTTAAGGAGAGAAGAGATAAAGCCACAACATAATTACACAAGAACAGGGTTCTTCCTACTTGAAGTGAAAACCCAAGGCTGTAAAGAGGTCTTCTTCAATTCCAATAAGCTCTTCAAGATATGTATCACTGTCCTCAGGTCTACACAGGACAAACATCTCAACCTTGCTAAACTGATGCACTCGGTAAAGCCCTCTGTATCGATTTACAACAAACTTGTCAGATGACACAAGAAATTCAAAAAGCCTATGTATAATGCATGGAAGAAACCAACCAGGAACATACAAGAAACAATTTATTTGTGAGATGACAATATAACAGGAAAAATTATATCCTTCAAGAATCTGAAAAAAAAAATTAGGAAAATGAACGGTGAAGTTTTGCGCAAACTATGGAGCAGAAAACCAGATGTCAACCAAACCAGAATCTCAAATTGCTGGATTTCAAAAATGAGATGTAGTCACAAGAAGGGATATAGATTTAAAAGTCAAAATAGACAGAAGCAGCAGAAAAGGAAGATATGACTTTTTCAGATTATTTACCTTGTTGCGGCGCCAGCAGCCCCTGCCTCAGTCCGGAAGCAATGTGAATAAGCAACATACTTCAAAGGTAATGATGATTCAGAAAGAATAGAATCCATATGAAGTCCTCCTAATGGTATTTCAGCGGTGCCTATGAGGCACTGATCAGAACCTGAAATAGTATAAACCTGTGGAGGTTTCAAACAAGCCAAACATCAGCTTCATCTTTCAAGTGAGATACTTAGCTCCAACAGGATACAACAACAGCTTTACAAATATGTGAGCAATCACTGGATATGCCTACAAGAAAAAAATTTGGAGCAATAAAGCACAATAAGGCTACTATATGACAAGCCTGACAGATTAGGCACTCCAGAAATCATGAATCAAAACATCATACTGTTGAGGAAATATATGCAAAACATAATCAACCATTACAAAAGAAAATCATTGACAAACCTGTGTATTCTCTGCCCGAGGTTGAAACCCACATTTTTCTACAACAGATGCCCTCACAATTTCTGGGGTTGTCAAAGGAGTAAAACCTCTTTTTGTGACCTCTGAAAGAGTCCAGTTAACAAGGGCCATTTCTAGCATGACTGCTTCATTTTTCAGGTAGTAAAATTTGGAGCCACTAACCTATAATGGGCAAACAGAAGAATTGAATGTAAATATATTGAGACATTATTAGGGATTTGTACACCAACAAATATCCATTGCCATTTATAAAAATTGTAACTGAGATTTTCAAACAGTAATTAAGCAACAATACTGATACCAAGTAAAAAATTCTCTTCAAGAGGATGAAACATAGAATAAAAGTCTAAGTGAATACGGTAAGGGAAACAGAAATCCATTAATATCCCTTACAATTAACATCCCAATTCCCAAATGCACCCACAATCCGAAAGGTACTTATTGCCACAGGAAGAAAAAAAAAAAAAAAAAAAAGGATACAGATAGTTTAGTATGTGTTGAGAAGAAAAATAAGTCAGAGTTATGCTACAACAACAGCTCTCAAGTCAAGGAGATCACATGACATTTAAAAAGGGCTATTCGACACAATAATGAAAAGATACTTCTAGACTCACTTAAAACAGGAAATTACCTCGGCTGCAGCATCGAAATCAAAAAGATCAAGCTCTTTGCCTAGTGCAAGGTGATCCTTGATAGGAAAGCCAAATTCACGTGGCCTACCAACCTACAGAGACAAAAATTAGATATATGTACAAAAAAGGATGGAAAACAACCTTCATTTTCTTAACATCCAACCTCAAGTTATTGTGAAAGAAAATAAGACATAAACTCAGAATCGTATGAACAAAGTTACCATTTTTCTCAACACTGAACAATTTTCATCTCCTATTGGCACATCCGGATGAGTCATATTTGGAATACATTGAGCTTCCTGCTGAAGCTCATCTGTTAGTCTGAGGAGATCTTCCTCCAGGCTAGCAAGTTTTTCCTTCAAGTTCTTACCTAAACGCAAAGCATTACAGATGTTTTCATCGAATCAAGCTACTTTTTACGAGCAACTGCGTAGAACCCTTATTACCTTCTTCTATCAGCTTCTGACGCTCAGATGGTTCCAGTTTTCCTTTCATTTTGTTTGCCACTGCATTTCTTTCCCCACGAAGCTGCTCAACCTCCTGCTCTCTGTGAGCGACAATTAGCTAAATTCAGAAGAAACCTACTCTAGTACAGTAATAAGAAGTCAAGAAATGATACACATACAGCATGATCACTTTAAAAGATTGTGCCAAGTTACACACACACACCATAATAATTAATTTTTTAAAAAGGATGGTGCAGCTTTGAAAGTGGGGTGGAGGGAGGGGGTAAATAAAGAAAATAATATATATTTATTACACTTGTTTACATTAAGTACTAGCAGTTAGCACTCTTAGGAAAAAGTAAGAGTCGAAATGTCAAAAACTCACCCAACCCAACCTAAAAGTAACCCGATTCAGATTTCAACTTGTATATGCATAATAATTTAGCATGACTCAACTTCTAACTAGACCCGGCCTGACCTGACGCTACCAAACCCAACCCAGACACCCAAATCGATACCTCTAGAAGGGGGGGGAACTAGAGAGATACTGAGATACACGCGGAGGGGGGGGGAGGAGGATATGAGGAAGAAAAGGCATGCGATGGAAAGCATAACATTCTTTTTAAGTGAAGAAATCTATTTCAACTTTATCACTTAACAAATTTGATCTCTCCCATTTAGAAACCAAATTGAAGGATTATTCGAGAACTAGTTTCCTTAAAAAGATACTTCCTCCGTTCCAATAATATTGCAACATTGGAACTTTGCATTATTTATCACTCTTGTTTGATCATATAATATGATTTATACATTAATCAAAATATAGTCATGTAGGATCTTGTTAGATTCGTCTCATAATATACTTTCACCATATCAACTTTTTATAATTTTTACTCTTATACAATTATAGATATTTAATATATATAAAATGTGTTTTGGGATGCGTAATTTCATCCTTGTTGCAATATTATTGGAACGGAGGACGTATAAAGGAAAGTCCCCCCAAAACAAACAAAACCTTTATCATATGATTCATATATATTAAAAGAAATTAAAATTATCCTACAAAAGCACAATTCCAAACTAACTTGCTAAAATCTATAGTTTATGACTAGTACCCAAGTCCTCAAATTTTTTTAATTTATTTGAAAGACAAATCCTCAACATGTTATTATAACACCAAAACAAACTTGATTGGGCATCCCAATGATTTCATATCATGTTGATATACTAGAGTTATGCTAAAGATCTACTCAACTTTAGCATCATACCAAAGTCCACACGACAGCATACTTGGATAGGCAGCAAACTCAGCAACCTTGGTATACTAAACTAAGAAGCATAATTTCATAGCTAAATCCCACACACTACTACACCATTTTCAGTTGTGCACTAGTGCCATGGTAAATTCAGCAACCTTACTAAACTACTAAGAAGCATGACCTCGCTAATTCCTACGCACTTCACCATTCTCACTTCTTTACAAGATGGTGCATAAATGCCATGGTAAATTCAGCAACCTTACTAAACGAAAAGGCAAATCTCACAGCTAATCCCTACGCACTCCACTATTTTCAGCAGTAATTAACACTCTCTAAGCATTCAAAGATTCGATATTTGATAAACTGAACACTTACCAAAGTTCTCATCTTACAACATTGCTAGAAACATCAACCGATTTCCAATTTATCATATTAGTCCTCTTTATCTAAACTAACCAATTAACTTAGCAAATGGAATGATAAATTAAAACCAACAATTAAGAAAGAGGCTTAACCTTCTGAAGAGTAAGCATCTTGTCATAAAGCTCAAGAACCAAATCCAAATTAGCAGTAGAATTCCTGTTCTTTATATTAGCAGCAACTGCATCTTTGTTATCCCTAATCCACTTGAAATCAACCGTTGCTTTCCACTGAGTCTTCAACCCTACAACCCCAATAAAAAAAAAGTCCAATAAAAAAACCCCAATTTCAAATTCATTAACTTCAATTAAGAAAACCCAGAAATTATAAGAGAAGGGGGTACCTGAATCAGATGAGGCAGTTGTGGGTGCGGCGGAGGGAGTTGCTTGGGCGGAGGCGACGGCAGAGGAGAGAGAAAATGGGCGAAGAAGTGAAGGAAATGGCAGATGGGGGAGTCTAATGGGGCGAGGTAGAAGAAGAAGGTTCAGAGATGGGGTGGTCAAAAGGGGTCTGAAAATGGGAGGAGGAATGCCCGCCATTTTTAAGGTGTGGAAGGTTGCTCCGCCTAGACATTGCGGTAACCCCATTGTTGATTGTGAAGCTTTGAGATGGAGATGAAGATGTTTGACGGAGTTTTAGGGTGGGGTTTTAGGCAACGGATAGGTAAGGGTTTGATTGCAATATTGTGATACTAAGGGCATCTTTAAGGGTGAACTATTTAATTGTTCACAATGAATAAACAAATAAAGTGGTGGCTTAATGGCAAACCTTTAATGGTTCATGTTGAGTGGTCATGGGTTCGATTGCAGGAGCAAGCATTTCCATGAAAACGACGTTGTTTTGCTGTTGAAGCTCCAGCCGCTGCTTGACACGTTTGCACTGTTTTAAATATATCCGTTGTAATTTTGCAACGGATATATTTTACAAAATACAAATCAAAAAAAAAAAAAAAAAATTACCAACGACTCTATTTTTTTCCCCTCTATAAATAGACACCCATATTGATATATTTTTTTCAACTTTCAAAATTCATTTTTTTCTACTATATTTTTCTCTTCAAAAATCCCCTCTATAATTACCAATATTATTATTATTATTTATACCAATATTAATATTATTATTGTTATTATTATTTTTAATTATTATCATTAATATTATTATTAATATTATTATTATTAATATTATTATTGTTATTATTGTTTTTATTATTATCGTTATTATTATTATTATTATTTTTATTATTATCGTTATTATTATTATTATTATCGTTATTATTATTATTGTTTTTATTATTATCGTTATTATTATTATTATTATTTTTATTATTATCGTTATTATTATTATTATTATCGTTATTATTATTATTATTATCGTTGTTATTATTATTATTATTATCATCGTTGTTATTATTATTATTATTATTATTATCGTTATTATTATTATTTCTATTATTATTATTGTTATTATTATTATTATTATTATTATTATTAAATTTTTATTTTTTCCAAATATAAATTATAATTATGGATGCTAATACCAACCCCAAAACAAATAGAAAGCAAAAAAAAAATTGGGTCAAAATATGATCCCGAATCAAGCTAATTTTCCTCCAATTCACCCAAATTTTTCACAAACATCCACAAATATTTGGGAATCGAGCAATGTCTTATCTGAAGAAGATGAGGCAAATGAAGAATGTGAGGATGATGGTGAGGGAAATGAAACTCCTTCTCCCCATCAAAACTTCAGTCAAATGTTACAGCAACCACTCCAATCAACTCCTGAATATCGTGTTGGTGGTTCAAACAATAGAGGTTGGTCGTGATCAGAAACTGCGGCTCTTATATCCGGCTACATGAACACCAGCACCGACATAATTATCGGCACAAATCAAAAGAAGGGTGTATTTTGGAAGAGAGTCTTGGACGCATACGATGCTGCCAGGGAATCGAATCCAGATGAATATCCCTACGAACTATTAGTAGTTTGAAGGGAAGGTGGATGCGAATCTCTGAAGCCGTGTTAAAGTGGTGCGGAAGCTATGATAAGGCCCGGAAGCGAAAGGGAAGTGGCTATAACGAAGATGATGTTATCCAAGAGGCCCACAAAATCCATGAGAACTCGTTCGGACAATTCACCTTCTATGAGGAATGGATCCAACTAAGGAAGTGTGACAAATTCCGGTCTTTCTTGGACCAACAAACATTCAAGCCATCGGTGGGACGTCCACATTCAACTCCACTAACGGATGAGTCTGTAGGGAGCGGAAGTAGTGGGAAGAGGACACGGGATGAGGGTGACAATTCCTCACCTACCACACCAACCAGCGTGGGTATCGGTGATGAGAGAGTAGCTCGTGCTGAAGGTATTAAAAAGGCTAAGTCGAGGTTGAAGGGTAAAGCTCCATCAAGTCAAGCATTTAAGGAATTAGAAACATTCAACACTCGATTGCAGCTTTTTGGGGAGTCGATGAATGTGTCAAACGAAGCAGAAATGAAGAGACTTGAAATACAAGAGCGCAAGGAGGCAAGGAAACAACGGAAAATTGAGCTAGAGCAATATAGGATCAACTGGGAGCAACTATCTCGTCTAGAACAGAAAGTAAACCGAGAACAATGGGAAGACGAAATGATAGTAATACTTCGGAACAATATTCAACGTTTCAATAATGATGCTTAGTGTCCTTTATTTTTATTGTAGTTAAGTGTGTTCAATTCCTTTGTTGTTCTTCATTTTCAGTAGTGATAAGTTTTCAATTCCAGTTCAACCTCTTGTACTCATTTCCTTATGTTTGTACTTTATCAATTAATCAATAAAATGTATCTTTTCCACTTTCCCATTTTCATAGCCCATGTGATCTTATTCTGTTTATTCAATTATATCAATTTGTCTCTTTATATATAATTGTGTCAGTATCTTAATTTCCCCTTTGTTAGCCCATGTGAAACCCTTCTTCTCCATTCAATTTATGTGTGGTTCTAATCCAGTGTTTGTCATAGCCCATGTGAAACCCTTCTTCTCCATTCAATTTCTGTGTGGTTGTAATTCATTGTTTGTCATAGCCCATGCGATCTTTGTTTCTTTATATTCAGCTATTTCTGAAGAAGAATTACAAATTAGTTCACTATAAATAAACACCATTCTTTCATTTTGTATACACACAAACACATAAATCGTTTGCAGTTACTATTAGCAAACCTCACTCTATCTTACATTTCTTACGTACAAAATGAATTCAAATAGTTTAAACGAAAGCTCAACCGATTCCCCTTCATCTTCATCTAACTCGGATGATGAGGGAAGGGAGCTTAGAGTTCAACAACGTAATGAAGTGTGTCTTATGATACAACACGTAATGCATGAGTACATTCCACCAATTATTCAGGCTGCCACTCAGCAACGCCGACGAAAATCTATTGAGCCCCGAAAGGATAGGGGACGCGAAGAAGGTCATGCACGGTTATACAATGACTATTTCGCGGAAGTCCCAGTTTATCCAAGTTCCTTGTTCCGGCGCCGATTTCGAATGCGTAAACATGTGTTTGAGCGCCTTCTCAACGTAGTGACCCAACATGACCCTTGGTTTCAACAAAGGCGAGATGTGGCAGGTCGTCTTGGTTTGTCTCCACTTCAAAAGTGCACTGCGGCCGTTAGACAACTAGCTTACGGGTGTGCTTCAGACGCTTGTGATGAGTATGTCCGTATAAGTGAGGCTACTTCACGATTGGCACTCCAAAAGTTTACAGAAGGTGTCATCAACCTGTTCGGTGATCAGTACCTACGCCGTCCAAACATCGCAGATATGGAAAGATTGCTACGTATTGGGGAAGAACGTGGATTTCCTGGCATGATAGGTAGCATTGATTGTATGCACTGGGAGTGGAAGAACTGTCCACACGCATGGAAGGGGCAGTATCAAGGAAGAGAAGGAGTTGCAACTCTCATACTGGAGGCAGTTGCGGACAGAGATCTATGGATATGGCATTCGTTTTTTGGGATGCCAGGTAGCTGCAACGATATTAATGTGCTTCATCGATCCCCTGTGTTCGAAGACGTCTTAGAGGGTCGGACACCTCCTGTCAACTTCGTAGTCAATGGTCATCATTATACGAATGGGTATTATCTTACTGATGGAATCTACCCTAGATGGGCTTCTTTTGTGAAATCCATTACGAGTCCACAAACTCATAAGGATCGTTTATTCGCAAAACACCAGGAAGCTGCAAGAAAAGACGTTGAACGTGCATTTGGGGTCCTTCAAGCTCGTTTTGCCATTATTAAAAAGCCGTCTTTGGCGTGGGATACCGACATACTCCACAATATCATGCTCGCCTGCATCATAATACATAATATGATCGTTGAAGATGAACGAGAGACGTATCAAAATAACGTTAATACCAATGAGTTTATGAATGCTGGAGGGAACGCTAATGAGGACACTACCGAGTACCGTACTGATCGTATTGTGGATATCGGCTTATACTTGTCTCGTAGAACAGAGATTGAGGATCAACAGACTCATTTGCAGCTAAAAAACGACTTGGTCGAACATATATGGAATAAATTTGGTAACAACGAAAACTTAGGCAACTAGGTTTACAACAAATGGTTATCCCTAAGGACATCTTACAAAACGATGTGTAGTTGTGTTTTTTTTTTTTAAATAAAATGTACTAGATTATAGTTGTAGAACTGTAATCACGATTTGTACCTCCTTTTTTTTATGTTAATTAAAATTAGCTGCGTTGTTGTTTAAAAAATATTAATCACAAGAATTAATTTTTTAAAAAGCTGATAAAAAACGCGATAATTTCTTAATTAGTAATCACGATTAAAATATTAAATACGTCAATTAATTACATTGACATCGGTTAATAAATTATAATTATGAAACAAAAAGATTATATTTACAAAAATAAAATAAGGTGGGGTAAGGAGTATTGATGATGAACCATTGTTTAGTGTTTATTGTTAAGAGTGAATATTGTAAATGGTTTGTTGGGTTGATGTGGATGAGAGAGAAATGGTGATAGTGACCCATGAACCATTTTTTTTTTGTTCACCAATAATGGTGCTCTTTAAGGCTACATATATAACTTAACGAGAGAGCGAACGATAATTAAAGTGGTTAGAGCTTCTTTTTTGGTGGCTCGTTTCTTAATCCTCAGTATTTAGAGAAAACTCAAATTAATATACTGTACTTAATATACATAAAAATATAATACTACATATGTAATAAATACAGTGAATAAGTATTTAAAAAAAAAAAAGGTTAGTAATTTGAAATTTAAAAGTCATTTTGCATAGCCACAGTCAACCATTAAGAGTACCATGCAATCAATAAATAGTCAATAATCAACAACCAAGTACCAAATAAGGCATACTCGGAAATTAACAGATACAAGTATTATCTCTTCAATCAGTGGCGGAACCAAGGGGGGTTGGCGTGGGCCATGGCCTCCCCCTTGGTTTTGGTTATATATTAAATATAGCAAAGAGTTTTGTTGAATCTATTATAGCTGAGTTGGCATTAGTGTAAAGTGATCTATTTGGAGGTAACAAGTTCGAAACTTCCTCGTCACATTATTTTTTTAAAAAAAAATATGAGTATTTTGTAGAGATTTTTTTAACGAGTATTACGTATAATGAGTTATAGCACAACTCTTGGCATTAAATTCCCTTTTCCATACATTTTCATTAATTTTTTTAATAAAACTTGGTTTCACTTCTATTCATGGCTAGGGGGTTTTCGGAGTGGTTTGTGGTGCTTTCGAGGGGGGTCTGTTAGGGTTTCGGAGTGGTTGTAAGGGTTTCGGGGGCTGGGTTGGGTTGCTGGGGAAGGAGAGGTGGGGATGGGGAGGGGAAGGGGGTGGGTTGTTTCGATCAGGACACGACGCAGGGGTGGTAATTTAGGCTATAAAAGGGGGGTTGGGGCCTTTGATTTTTTTTCTTTTAATAATTTTTTTTAAATATTAAAAAAATAATAAACCTATTAATAGCTGACACATGGCAAAAACTTCACCCACCCCGAAACCCGAACATCCACCCTCGAAAAATCCTCTAACCACATTGAAAAACCCCCTAGCCACCTCAAAAAACCCCCTAGCCATCCCAGAAATCGTGGATGGAGGGTTTTCGGAGTGGTTTGTGGTGCTTTGGGGGGGTCTATTGGGGTTTCGGAGTGGCTGTTAGGGTTTCGGGGGTTGGGTTAGGTTGCTAGGAAAGGAGAGGTGGGGATGGGGAGGGGATAGGGGTAGGCTGTTCCGAATTTTCGATCTAGACAGCGATGCAAGGGTGGTCGTTTAGGCAGTAAAAGGGGGGGCTAGGGGGCTTTGATTTTTTTTCTTTTAATAATTTTTGTTTATTTTTAAATATTAAGAAAATAATAAACCTATTAACAGCTGACACGTGGCAAAAACCTGAGAAAACCGTTCACCAACAGGTAATGGATCGTTAGAGGAAGATTGGGGATAAAGGTGGAATTTTTTAGGGAAAAACGATAGGTGGGATTATTTATTTCCATTTTTCCAAAGTTAAAATATACTTGTAGAAAAAAAAAATGGGGGTATTTCTTATTTTTCTTTCCCTAGATACAGTCATAGTATTGTAAGATTTGTAACTCCAAATAATACGAGTAATTCGCATTTGGTAAAACAACCAATGGTGCTATCAGATTCAAGCCAACTACAAAATAACCTTCTGCTACAAGTCATACTCGAGATCAATATCAAGAGGCCTCTACTCAGCTTCTTAACTAAGCAGATCACTAAGCATCCGCTTATTTGCTCCTTTTTTCGTTATGGGGTCATTTTAGGCCTACAACAAATATGCTATGTGAAGTGAATATGCAGAAGCTGCAAAATTATGAAAGTGCCGCAGAATTTTTCTCACAATTTCAGTGTGTAAAAAATGGAGACCATTGGACATTTCGACCTACAATAACTGAGTTCCAGTGCTCAGTTAACAGGATACGTAACCACAAAATTATTACATGAGCAAAAAGTACATCTTTCTGTATTTTGGGACTAAATTTAGTTCCAACGGACAAGCCTAAATTTATTAACTAGGCCTTCTATATGAAATTTGCTTTAGGCAGCAGGTATCCCTGGACACACAGTTGAATTAGACAAAATCAACATAACCACATGAATCCATCTGTTCAGGAAGACTCATCTTACAGAGGTCCAGGAAAGGTGCCGTTCTCCCTTTGCTCATTCCACCTGTCAATCTGCATTCCACAAACATAGCAAATTTGTAACCATATTAACCAACATGGAGAGCTGACATAAAAATAAAAAAAAATAAAAAAAAAAATGAATTATCTCAATGTTAAGGCAATGTAAGTAGGTAATTCTCACAAGCAATTTGCAATAATAGCAGACAACTTGACAAGAAAAATGGGAAGGTGAGTTTATCTCAGTTTGATTTCTACATATACCAAAATTCAGACAAGAAGCAACAAGCCGACAAAATACTACAAAATACACAGTTATTCCTCAGTGTTCTCAGCGATACCCCTCAAGTTCTAAACTACCAAACCTCAGCCCTCCAAGATTCCTTAAAAATTTGTTTGACTGAAAACAATAAGTGGGATAGAACGGATCATCCCTCTCCATCATAGGTTCAGAATTTCAGAAAAAAGGGTATCAAACTAAGATATTTTCTACAATTTTATGATTTGCACACAACAGAAGCTAACAACTTGAACTTCATATTTTGGCAAATTCTTTTCAAGTTCACTCACAAACCAAAGAATTCACTTAAATTCCAAGTTCTGACTTTAAAAGCATTGAAATGTATGTTCTTTGCTCTTCCATTCCTTTCCACTCATCATAGGGAACTAAACAGGCTACAAACAACTATCTATCCTAGACAGAAATTTTTGAATCTAAATTATTGTTTGTGTTGTATGAAGATATTTACTCATCAAAAAAGAAGGAAAGTCATAAGAGATCCTAAATTATTAACAAGAAACAATGTACTTACCCATTCACCAGGGCAGAGAGACCGGTAGAACTTAGCAAATTTATCACACTCTGGGGCATCTTCGCCCTTGGCAGCGGTGCACCTAAAAAAGGACAGAATATTTGCTAATCACAGGGAGCAAGTGTTGAAAAAAGAAATACCCATTCATTAAGTCAGATGTCTTACCGATGATACTCAATGTATCGGGTAAAGCAATGCCTTGTTTGGTTTGTGGTTGGGAAACGAAAATCTGCTGGTGCAGTCTCAAGCTGTAGCATATAAAAGATAGATAAGAAAGATGAATGAGGCTCCCAAGGAGGTTATGCTCAAGATGAACATAGAAAGCTAACACAGAAAGCCAATGTATCTCATTCAACTCTTAGTAAAGACCTTTATTTCTTCTGGAGTCTCTTCGCTGGCTTCTTCTTGCTCTGGAGCTTCGCTGCTTTCCTCAGCTGCTGGAGCAGCATCCTCATTGCTCGTTTGAGCATCATCAGCTGGAGCCTCACTGCTCTCAACTACTGGAGCCTCACTACTCTCAACAGCTGGAGCAGAGGGTGCTTCAATGCTCTCTTCTACAGCAGCAGGTGCTTCTTCAGTTTTCTCAGGAGCAGCTTCTGCTGCAGTCTCAACCTCTGCTACTTCAATAGGTTTTGATTCAGCAGGCTTCTCATCTTTTGGCAAAGAATATTGCTGAGTTCAACAGCATTAGGCAGAGCATTTTAGATTCAAACTAATATGTGATCAGTGCTTTCTCACAAAATTTATGTACAAGCATACAATATAATGACCAATACACTATACACACTCAAAAGAATAAGCAAGTGCTCCACAATATACAAGCATAACTAAGAAAAATAACAGTTAACATCAGCCATCTCGTAGAGATACGACATGACCAAACATTGTAAAAACAAGAGTTCAACTTGTACCACACAAAAAATTATAAGGAGAATTTGGGCTGGCAGAGGCAGGTTAATTGAAAAATCCATGGATTTGGAATTTATGAACTAAAAATTTCCTTTCCATTTTGTAAGTAAAAACAGGCAAACTTTGCAATCATTATAATGGTGATAGTCATGCGGCTGTAGGGTCTACAATCAGCAGCAAGACTCGGCAGGCATGCCACAAGCAAGGATAGTAAGCACATGTGTTTCACTATTGATCAAAGCAGTCTATGGAGTCCAACGGGTTAATGCTTAAGCTCAGCTCAGCTCAAAATGTATAGATACTTCAAGAAATCCGCATAGATTCTGTTGTAACAGAATAACAGTCTGTAACTACGTCTATTTGTACAAGCAGTAATATACGAAGTAAAAATAGAGCTGTAAAGCCTGTAATAAACAAAATGATAAACTTTCTCTCTTTCTCTCTCTAATTTCTGGTATTAGTTTTCATTAGAATACATAAGAACTGCTAGATTGTAGTTTTCATCACATTCAAATCCCAAACTCAATTCTGTAGCTAAAAACCACTCCGGTTTTTCCAACATGCACTACCAATCAAAATTCCTACAAGTGCAACATTCCCTTAACAATATGAAACTAAATATGAGGTTATACGGCCGTTTCATACATATTTCTCTTTTAGACAACTGTTTTATTGCACGACTGGGCGATTCTTAGGGCTCAACACTCAATAAGTCTATATCATCCAATCTTACTAAAACATAATAGTATATAAGTAGAATATAACCCTATCAACAGCTTGTAATCAAGGGCTATAAAAGGCACTCAATGGTCAAATTAGATTCAAAACCATGTAATTTAAATTCAATTGAATTGCATTATTTCTTGGTTCAGAAAGAGTGTAAATGGAATTCGATTCCAAGTCTTGGGTATCAATCCCCGAATTCAACCAACTAAACTAATTGACACCTACAAATCTACAATTCATTAAAGCTGTAGTATTGATATAAACAATACTCGGGAAGCACACTAATTTAGATCTTATTAAGCCCCTTGTATTATAAAAAATCAAAGGAAAAAAAAAAAACTTACAATCAACAGTATCAAAAGATATCAACTTTAGATGAAGCTATCAAACCAAAAATTGGTCCATTCAATTAAAAACAATCCAAGTTGACATCTCATAATCGCAAAAACAAATCGATTAAATATCCATCTAAAACCTCAATAAAAAAAAATGCAAATAAAAGGGAAAATCAGATCGAAATAAACACATAAAGTCAATTAAAATTCAGATTCAGCAATTAAAATGAAGTCAATAACAAGCATAATAAAGTAGGAGAGAGAAATATAGAGGATACCTCGGAGAGAGAAGGGGGAGCAGCCATTGAAGGAGTAATCGAAGGTTGGTGGGACGGCGTACGAACCTGGGTTGAATTGCGGTGAGAAAATGAAAAAAGGTTAAAGCTTTTTTAGGGTAGGTGTTGCTCACTGCTAGTGGAGAGAGAAAGGAGAAAGGATTGCTCCGTCAATGACATAGCTTGAAAAATTTCTGTCCAATTGTTATTTTACACGTGTATTGCTGACCTGGCCCAAGGAAACAAATTTTTGCAAAAAAAAAAAAAAAAATTTTGCTTCATTTATTTTTTATGACAATTTTTTTTTTTAATAGTCAAATCAATTTATTAAAAGTCATATGATATTTACAGAATTTTTAAAATATACAGCATAAAGAAATTCTTTATGTAAACTACAATCATCGAGTAAATCTTGCATTGTAGAACATCTTTTGCTTATTGTTGAAATGTAAAGATTTTTGGAGAGATAATCTACAATTTGTATACAAGAAATTGAAAATTTTTGCGATCACACATAATTCTTCATCAATGAAACAATTTCACACCAATTAATTAAAGCACAAAAGCAAAGCTTCCCTCAAAAGAGAAGAAGAAAAACTTTATTTTTCAAAGAGGAATAGATCCTCCTAAACAAGAATAAAAACCTTGTTTTCGAAGAAGAAAAGATTCTCCTAAAGATAAAGAAAAACTCTGTCATATGACTATATATCTCCTTCACATTTAAAAGAAAACGGAGGAAGTAAAAGTTTGATATTTTAAATGTTAATCTTAAGACATTTGAAATAACAATTTGTTTTGTTTAATTAATGTTTGCGTGCAAAGGCTACATAGTAGTGTTTAGGGTAAAAATACCCCGGTCCACGTGGACCAATAGCATGAAGACACGTGTTAGCCTTTCAGAACCTCTCCTCTAACGTCACATGGCAGTTCATATCATGAAAGGAGAGTTGATCCTCAAACCCTATAAATAGGGAAAGATCCCCATTTATTGCATTCATTCAGAAATACTCACAAACTAGAGCAATATTAATTGCAGATATTCTCTCTCGGAATCCGGGAGAAACTCTTTACATTCCGCACTTTAACTCCGTCCGTACTCATACTAACTTGATCGTCGGAGGCGGAACTCCACCCAACCGGAGTTTCCGTGGTTTTGCAGGTACATACGGTCAGCATCCATTCTTGGAATTGTAACTCTCCCGAGGGACTCCAAAAACCCCGAAACAAGTAGCATTGTATTTTTGAATAAAAATTGATTCGTAAATAAAAAGTCATACGACATCCACAAAGAGATTTAAATATAATAAATACATGACAATTAAATCCTTTCAACAGAGCTACGATCGTTGTTGCAAATAGTACATTCTTCATACCCTCTTTCATATCGTTGTGGTTTACAGCCTCCTTCGACGAGGGGGTCTATTGATCTATTGTAGTCGTGAAGAAATTTTTCGTTCTAATTCATCTAATTGTAAACGAAGGATTAACCTCTTTCTCGATCCCGCACAAATCTTTACCCATGAAACAACTTGTACCATACTAAACTCAAAAAACAAAAACAAAACTAGAACAAAGCACACCATAGGGGCACTTACTACACTCAACCCACTATAAGGGTACTTACTACCTTCAAAGAATATAAATTTATTGAATTCAATAACAAAATCATAAAGAAGCTAAAGGAAAAAGGTTAGAAAAATTAAAATTTCCTGAGAAATTTGACTATTTCCGGCCTATGAAACACTTTTTTTAAAATAACACTAGAGAGAAAAAAATAGAGAGGATACGACTAGGATTTTATATTTTTATACACATAGTAGCATTGCATTGTTGCACTTTAATTGAGTTTATACATTTCCATGCCATTTGTTGTACTTTTTTTTATTTTTTTAGTAAGTAGAAGAAAAGGCGTCTTATTGGAACAAAGTCTATTATTCCCTTCGTATTTTATTACTTCCTCCATTTTTCTTTAACGGTCGTATTTTATTACTTGCTCTATTTTCTTTTTCGGAAACTTTTAACAATATTTTGCTATTTTCCTCTCCACTAGTGATCTCTTCACATTATATTTTAATACTTTACATATTCTCTCTCCTCACTTATACTCACTTTTGGTTTTTTTAGATTTTTTTATTCTTCAACCAACCCTACTTCCATCATACTCCGTATTTTATTTACTTTATACTATTTCTCCTAAAACTCCGCGTATGAAGAAATGGAGCAAGTAATAAAATACGGAGGGAGTACAAGTCAACCCGATCCAAGTAGGCGAGGATGGCCCCTTAGGAGTGAGCTGAGGGGAAGGGTAAATGAATCCCTACCACCCCCGAGTTGTTGTAGTGGGGATTGATCCCACCACTAGCCAAGTACTAATTGACACTCCTTTCGTTTCAAAAAGATCTTCTCATTGAAATCTTGACATTATTCATAAGATGAAAAAAATCTTTTAAATCACTCTTCTATATATATGCTAAAATAGAGGATGCTGGTAATTCTAAAGTTTATTGCAATATATTTGTAACACCCACAAATCTCCCTCTACGAAAATACCAATATAATACGTATAATTATACCGTAGAGATAGACTTAGGCGTGTTACCGCCGAGTGACTACGCAAGGCTACTCAAAATACTTAACTTAATAACAAACTTAAAACGGAAAACTCAACTCTTCTTTTATTAATACTTATAAAATAGTAACATTATTCTGAGTACTCAAAATAAAGACAGACAAAACCAACATTCCTAAACTAAATCCCGGGATTCCCATATAATCATTCATGGCTCCATCTGAAAATAGTCAACAATGCTTACCAATAAGGTAAACAAGGCGAACCAAAACAAATAGGAAATACGGATTAGCAAAATATGCTAAGTACGATAAGTGTAAGATAAGTAAACTCAATTTATTAGCAAACATATTTTTAAAACCAGTTCCAATAATTCCAAAACTCGTGATTCAAAACCAATTTCAATAATTAATCTAATAATTCCAAAACTCATGGTTCAAAACTAATTCCAATAATTTAATAATTCAATAAAACGATTTATAAAACCAATTTCTCTTTTTAAAACCAATTCCACACCCAAGTGTGCACACCCCCCAAGTTAGTGTCTTTATATTGAAAGGCTATCCTTGAGGAAAGACTCGGTCATACAAAGTCCAAAGTCTTATCAACCAAATCCGCATAGTGGGATTACTATCATCATGCTTGTAAAGCTTAAATATTAATTCAACAAATCCTCTTTTAATCAATAATTCAATCTTTATAATAAACAACTCAAAACTCTTTTTATATTTAATTCAACAAGCTTTTAAAATCAAACCTTTTTAAAAACTCTTTAAATCAATCCAACATATTTTTAAAAACCAAATTCCTTTAAACATAATAAATAATTTCAAACCATTCAAAACAAGATAGAAATCCATTCTCAAACATATTTATTAAAACATGAATTCTCAAGGTTAATTTATAAATCACAATTCCAAACAATTTAATTAAAATCACACAAACATGCTTATTCATTTAACAATTTCAAAGGTATCTAGCCACCTAAACGTACCTTGATTCTGAATCTCAATCAACACTTCGCACTTTCAAAGTTCAATCACGAGTACACCTTGCAATTAACATAACTATAAGGTTATCACAACATCTTTAGACATAAACCAAATCTAATGTGCATGGACTATAAAACTCTTTTAAAAATAATAATTTAATATAAAATTATATTTTTGAAATAAGTATTTATATTTTAGAAAACTAACCATGAAGAAAATAAAGGAATAGGATTAAAGAGAATTGAATTTGCGTTGAACAGAATAGGCAGAACTTGCAAAGGCTATAACCTCTTCAATATAACTCTCAATTGGGTGATTCTTGAGCCTAACCTCAAGGATTTTTTGAGAGGAACAATTTTTTGTGAAACATAAAAACTCCAAAACTGACCAGAAGTGCCTGAAAATTGACTCAAAATATATACAGGCTGATTTTCTTTTAGAAAAGAGGAGAAAAAAAAGTTGGAAAAGGTTGAGGGAAAAGAAGGGTAAGAGAGAAGAAGAGAATTGAGTTTTTGGTGTGAAAAATATGAGAGGTATTAGGGGGTATTTATAGGCTCATGAATGAAAGAATTAAGGTAAGATTTTGTAGGAAGAATTATGGTAAATTTAGTTTAAGTAATTACTTGGAAAAGAGAGTTAAAGAATTTAGGAAAGTGTAGTTTATGGTGATTAAGAAATGAAGAAATAAGGTAAGTATGTTGTCATGAAATATTAAATGGTAAATGGTTTACTTGGGGAATAATCAAGAATGATTTAAGGCAAATAAATTGTATGATCAAATCTTTGTGAGATGGGGTATAGGAATTAAGGAAATAAGGAATTTAAGAACAAGTAAAATACAAAACTAACAAAATAATTAACCGAAAATTTGAGAATATCACTACTAGTTTTAGGAAAATATTTTCTAGATTTTAAGGATTAAAAATGATTGTGTAAATAATACATTTTGTAGAAAATAATTAATTAGAAATATTAACTTAAAACTAACTTAATTAACTAACAAAAATCACATTTTCTACACTTAGAAAATCCGAAAATCTCATTAATTAATTTAGGAAATTTTGGCCCTTTAATTTGTAAATATGAAATATAATTTTTGTTAATTAAAATATCCGAAAAATATATATATAATTCGGTTTTTATTAAAATAAATGGATAATAAATCTTATCCAAAATCCAAAATAATCATTGAGTTTTGATAATGTTGTTGGCGCCAAAATTTAAATAGTAAAATAAATTACTAAAATATCCTTTTTAGAAAATACTAATTAATTAATTAATTAATTGGAAAATACGTCTCAAAAATACGAGGTATTACAATATTAATATGCAATCTAAAGGAATCTTTTTAGTTACTAATAATCAATAATAAATATCATTAAAAATAGTAAATAAAATATAGGCTATCTTATATAACTAAATATGGTAGTATAAACAATACAAATATTTTATATCATATAAAATGATATTATAGATTTTAGTTAACAAATGAGTTGTGTATAAAGTGTAAAGCAAGATTCTGATAGTGATCTTATTAGATTAACTGTAAATAATGTATATGCTATAACACCAATAAAAAAAAATGTATATGCTATCATATGTAACTAAATGTATATAAGTATGTAGTATATATTATTGTTAATTGTCAAAAAAAAGCACAAGAAAGTAGAATGTCATAAAGAATAATAAACAAAAGATATTCTTCAAAAAAAGTAAAATAATAATAAACAAAAGATATATGGAAAGGAAATAAGTGAGTATTTAGGCATAGTATATGAATCTGTCAACATGATTTCCTTAATTCCAAAATATCTAATATATAAGATTAAAATAGTGTAGTATTGATAGGAATGGTGTCCTTCGAACAAGTGTATTATTTCGATAGAGGGTTCGGAATTAATTAGAAAGCTAATTATTCACTGAGGTCAAGTGATCGGAATGCCTAGCTGGAGGCCACTTCCAATCAGTAATATTAATGAATAATTAATATTACAGCTTAATTTTGACTGAATCCTTCGGGTCAAACCCAAGCGTGTAATCAAACCGAAGCGACGAATTAATCCAAAAGATTAAATATGTCGATAGAGATTTTATGAGCTCAGAGCGTCGAAAGTCGAGTCGAATTTATGAGTCGACGAGACGAACAAATCAGTCAAACAACAAGTCAAAGCGCGTGAAAATCCTAGCCTCGATATGGCTAGTCAATCGAGGGCTAGGTAGGCTAGCATCCTAGTCGGGCTCCTTGCCGCAAGCCCAGCATGCATCGCATGCACTTGCTGGGCGAGCTGGCCGAGCAACCATGGAGGTAAGGCTCGCCAGCATGGCCGAGCCAACCATGTGTGGCTGGGCTGGCAGGTCATGCCGCAATCAAGCAGTAGCCTATCAGCATGCGAGAGCTAGCAGCAAGGCGCGCCAGGCATAGGCTACTAGCACCAAGCTTGGTGCGTAGCAGCAGCAGCGTCCAACAACAAAGCAGCCCGCATTTGCGAGGCTTGCTGTTGCGGGCTGGTGCAAGAAAGCCTAACTGGCAAGCCCAGCCGAGAGACCAGGCGCCAGCATGGCTGCCTTGGTGTTCAAGGTGGGCTGCCACTTGGCGCCATCCTATTGCGCCCGTTTTGTGAAGGGGTGGCTTGGGGAGCAAGGGGGAGGTGGTCCTCCCCTCATGGGTCCTCACCTACTCCCTTGCTCTCCTTATGCCACTTGTCGTTTGATGATTATTTTGGCTTTTTAATTTAATTTAGAATCAAATTAAATCTTATTTTAGCTTTTTACCACCTATCCCACATTGAAAGATAATGGGAAGTTTTTGGGGGGAGATTTCCCTATAAATATCCATCATTGGGTATTGGGAACTTCACTTGAGTTGGTGAACTTTAAGGGATCTCCAAAAGCGAGAAAACCTTTGTTTGTAAACTCTAAGTTATTTTTCGTCTAGCCCCGACTAAGTTTCGGGGTAGGGACCGATTACGGTTCGGTAGCGAGGGTATGAGCCGTCAGAGGTTCTCGTACTTGCAGAACTTGAAGCTTTCAAGTCCAAGCTCATCGGTTGAGCGAAGCACGCTTCTAGGGTGAGTATTCTTTCTCTCTCTTCTCTCTCCTCTCTTATGCTTGTGTTTATTTGCATGCTTTAAATTATGTTGTAATTATTATGCACGCGATCCGATTATCGGGTTTTGTTTCCGCGCGGTGTAGGACACCACAAAACCCAACAAGTATTTCCTTACATTCATATTTTACGTCATTCTATAACGGTGAGCATAAATTGTGTTTTTATCAACAGTATATCATTATGCAATAAATTTACAAAATTCTAACTTAATAGCTTCTAAGTCTACAAATTTACCCCCTAATTCTTCTTCTCCAAACTTAATATCTAATTACAAAAAATACAAAACTTAGGTACCCCACTATAACATCAAAATCCAAATTGAACTGTAACAATCAATTCAGCAAAACTAGGAAAATGTGAATAAACTTGAAATTGCAAAGCAACATAGAAATCATCACTCACAATCAAAATGTGTAAATAAATATAGAAATCTTACATTTGAAAAAAATGGAATGTTTAAATTACTGACAATAATGAAAGTCAAGTGGATTTAATATAATCCAGAATTTAGTGGCCGATTATGCATGTCGTCGACCGCAATACTTGTGACAATGGTGATTCCTAGCTACTTCCATATGCATGATAGAATTGAGGAAGATAAATTTACTTGTGTGGTTCTCATAATTTTGGTGGAAGCTGACTATGTTTTTGCTTAAGGATTATCTTTGTCTTTAGACCAATGATTAATATTTATCTTGGACGTAACTTAGGTACCTGATTTAAAAATTTGTGACCACATTATAAGACGAAGAGTAAGTTTTGTTATGTTGATTAAAACAAAAGTACGGCAATATTAGGGATGAGACCCAGACCCAGACCCAGATTTTTGGAGGTGGATCCAAAATTCGACCCAGATCCACTGATCTAGCGGGTCTCAAGTCTAAAACGGGTCCAAAATGGGTCTTATTATGATTTTTTTAATTTTTTTTTTATAATCACTTATATTTTAAATAGATTATAGCTTGCCTATCACTTGTGTGACTATACATAGAATCATATAGATACATTAAACAATCTTGCTGCATATTGCATATTAAAATAACCTTTCATATAAAAAGATACATTAAAAAAAAAAAATACTAAACCTACAACAATCGGCTTGACGAGAGTAGGAGCTAGCCCTTGGAGGAGTGCCGACTATAGTTTGGAGTTAGGTTCTTTAGGTTTTCTTTTCATCTAATTCTTTCAATTACATAGCTCATGACTTGTCATTTATTTATGAAAAAATATCTACGGGTCCATAGGTCGAATTTGGGTCGGGTCTCGGTTTGAACTTTTTAGACCCAGACCCTGACCCATTGCACTGAGAACCAGATCCATTTAGGACGCTAGACCCTAAAATATTGGTTAGATCTAGGTCGGTTCCTGAACCCATTGTCATCCTTAGATAATATATGAGATATATGAACGGACATGACTCGCATGAGTCATTCTAATATAAAAGGTAAAATATGTAGTGATCATAAACCTTTTTATATCTCTAATTTTTTTTTTTTATTCAATACGCAATACTATCATGATACACATTATTGTGAACGAATAATCAAATAATGTAAAAAATATCACTATTATGCATTAGGCTAACTAAATTTGGTTTTGATTTTGTGAGATTTAATATTTGAACTATCAAAACCGTGCAATTGCACGAGTACTATACTAGTAATATATAAAATATAAGAGTCATGTTGAGTCTTGTTTGATTCGTTTCAATGATTAGTTTATTAAAAATTCAATTGTTATGTATTTTACTAATAAATTTAAAATATTTATGGTCAAAGTAAGGTATTATCAAAAGTGTACAGTCAAAGTGAGACGATCATTTTGAAACGGAGGGAGTACTTGATATCTAGATGCACCATATCATCTATGATTGCCTGATTGGTACTCCATATCAAACATACCTTATTGTGTATGGCTATTACTTAAAGTACAGATTAGATTTTGTAGGATTTGAATTTTACATAGACAAGAATAATTTCATTTACTGACGACCCATAAAATTGTCCATCCATATAATGCAGCGAAGACTCTGCCCATTGATGAGATATTCGAATGCTTTGTTGATATCACGAAAGCTAACTTCATGAGTAATAAATCCATCAAGCAAAAGCTCCTACAAATGAAGTCAATATTGTCTATATTATTATGATTATGAAAAGATACCATTGGAAGTAAATTATTGCAAAAGTATGTAACTTCTTAATGATTATCTTGTATTGACAAGCAACATTCAAAGATATAAGGTATTGATTAAACATGAAATGAAAACGATATCAATATCAACTTACCTCGCTCATATATTTTTTGATGAGTATAGGTATATCGACTTTGGGTTTAATCCCACCAAATAAAGATCCCGTAACACTTTTGCCTCTCATAATTTCTACGCAATCCAAACTCAAGGGAATACCTCGTACATCCACGCCAAGTATTATTGTCCTTCCCCAACCCTATCAAACTAACAAATTTAGTAATTGTGAAAATAAATACTCGTAATTCGTATTAGATAATTATAGTTGAAATTTAGTACAAACCTCTCTAGAGCTTTCAAAAGCATCTTGCATAACAGTAGCTGAGCCTATACACTCAAAACAATAATCTGCACCTCCGTCAGTAAGTTCCTTAATAACCTGGCTTACTTTCTTGTCTTCACAAGATTTTGGATTTATAAACTCAGTAACTCCAAATTTCTTCCCTGCCAAAACAATTAATCAAGTTACTTAACTAGCCCAACATATATGTGATCAAATGTTCGTACAAGTAATAATCAATCGAACTTTGTATGTCTTAGCTTTCTGGTAGTAAGTTAGCATGAAATCGTTTTGATCAAATGTGCGACAACTAAACATGGACGGAGAGAAATAGTATAAGCCAAACAAATTCAATTAGGTACGTAACAAATTTGAGAGACCAAACCTATATCCTCTTTTTCAGGGTTAAGGTCTATTCCAATGATCTTCGAAGCTCCTTGTTGTTTTGCTGCTTGAGCCACCTGTCTCAACCGCCAAAGCAATATTGCCAATAACTCAACATTTTTAATAAAATTATGGATGTATCAGTTTAAATATTATGTATGTGACTGTGACACCCTACACCTTCTCAATTGATTACAGATTGATTTAGAAGCTCGTGTCAAAAAAATGATTTAGAAAAATAATTTCTAATCGAACATTTATAGCCTTTCATAATTGCGTTTCTAATCATAATTGAATTGATTTGATTTATAGGACTCACATGTCAAGCATCTCTCCATATTGTAACATATACAATCTTCCGTTGATATGATTTTTAGATCATATTTTATTAAAGTTTACCGCGAGAATAATAATGTACTACGTGTTAAGAAAAGGAAAAAGCAAAGAAAGTACAGAGTAATAATTTACCGCGAGTCCTACAGTACCAAGTCCAAAAATAGCCACAGTAGATCCTTCCTCCACCCTAGCCACCTTCCACACAGCTCCAATCCCTGCTCCCTCACAAAGCAACAACTTATTTGCTATAATAGGACTAAAATAATGAATCAATCACTAATATAATTATTGTTTGTCATGTTACTTTCGAATCAACTCGAAATAATTCCAAGTTTGTGAGGCTAGGTCATACCTGTAGTAACACCACAACTAAGCAAACAAGCTTTGTCAACAGGCATTTGAGGGCTAATCTTAACCACAGATGTGATATCCACAACAGTATATTCGACGAAGCTCGAAACGTAGAGAAAGTGATGAATTGGCTCCCCTTTCATGTCCGTAAACCTACCAACCTCGTCCCTTGGCATGGCGCTAGAGTACTTGGCAAACTTGGTGCAAACATTGCTTTTAGTGGACTTACAGTCTCTGCACTCGCCGCATTCGCGGAAGAACACTGGTATCACAGTATCCCCTTCTCTTACTTCTTCAACATACTCTCCTACGCTCTCTACTATCCTATTATGTCAGAATGATTACAACAATAATTAGGCTACTGGAGTCCTGAGATCGTCTTATACAATACTTTGACAAAATGTTGAAACAACAATTAAAAACAAATACCAATAGTAGGAAAATAAAAAAATACAATTCTATATACCCGTAGTAAATCTAATACTTTTTCGATCTATTCTTCTTATTTGGTATCATGTCATTATACATAAAGTCTGGAAATCTTAACATTATTAACTGACAAACGTGTAAGTCAAAATGAAAAGAATACTTAGGATTGAATGGACTTTGTACAAAAATGTGAGAGGTCAGTTGGTTGATGTAACAACTAACAACTATGCACTCACTCTCTTAACAAAAAGTCAAACTTAGAAAACACAATAAAGATAAATGTTTGGATTGTTTAAACGCCAGGATTTCTAAAACTTTCAACAATTAAACAAGATCACACATGAAAGAGACGTATTTTGAGAGAAATTGAAGAGAGGGAGACTGAACTTACCCGACAGCTTCATGCCCAAAGATCCTTGGATGTACAGCAATTGGTCCCTAATGTTCAATAATGGTAAAATTAAGATTATGACTTTATATTATTACAATTTTATTAATTATATACTGTTTTATGAATTTCTTGAAATAGTAATAAATGAAAACTTACTGAATCCATCTTCCAGAAGGAAACATCAGTATGACAAAGAGAAGTACATAGTATTTTGATCCGAACTTCCCAAGCTTTAGGTGGTGCCACTACAACATCTTCTATTACTAAAGCTTCCCCTGCTTTTCTACATACTGCACCTGCAAGGTTTATCGATAAGTTAACGGTTAATAAGTTCAGATAAGATTGAGTTTTTCAGTAGATAGAAAGAACTAAACAAACATAAATCATTGATGTTACTAACCTTTGCATATGATTGGTTTGCCAGCCGTTTTCGATGAGCTGTTGCCATTAACATAGTCCATGCTCAAAATCAAAGAGAGCTCAAGATTTGGGAGGGTGGAACTGTGGAAGGCAGAAAAGTTTGTGTGGCTATTCAAAAAACATGATGATGGGTTGAAAGAGATATGCTTGTTTTAATACTACCTTTGTTTCTTATTATTTGCAACAAAAGAATTTTTTATATTTACAATTTAGAGGCTTCAAATTCTGATACGACCGACCTAGCTCGAAACCAATCCAAAAACAGCTGATTCAGATTTCGACTCGCATGGACACAATAATTTAGCATGTATGATTCAAGTTTAAAATAGACCCAACCCAACGCGAACACTCGAATTGATACCTACCCTTTGTTACCAGTAATAAGAACAGAGTCAGTAGCTAAAAAGTGACTCAATAATTTCTCCACCAGCTACATATTTTCTTGTTTGATTGTAAATATCGTAAATATTCAACTAGGTGTTTTTCATATAAATAATTGGTAGTGTAATTATATTGAGATTTGTTGACAAATTTTGTATTTTTGTACAAATTGAAGTTGTATTTTTGTTTAGACACATTAATTAAAATTTTAAAGAATTTTTATAGTTTACTTTAACTATCACAAAAAGTAACTGGATTGTGATTTGTGAGGTAAAGTTATTTTACAAATATTCGAAGCTCGCCAATTATATGCCTTACGAATTACTCGATAATTAATTAAAAGATTGATGAGATTTGACTTTGGGTTTCATAATCATCCGTTTGATTTATCTTGACTGTCTTTTATGATTAAAACTATACCAAACGTTGACCTATTACAAAAATTATACAGTAGAGTTGTGTTTAGGCTTGATCGGTTATTGTGTATTATCAAAACCAGAGGCGACGTTAGGCTCAGAGCACACATATTGAGGAGGATATATCATCCTCCACTCTCTCTCTTCCAAAGTAGTATCCTCTTTGATGTAAAAATGTAAAAGAGGATACTATTTTCAAGAGGAATGCAACATATCCTCTTTATGGAGAGGGTATTAAATATTTGGGAGAGGAATGTTAAGTAGGTCAAAACTCATCTTTTAATATTTTTTTTTGCCTTCCCTTTCAATGAAAGGGTGAGTTTCAATACACGAAAAAGAAAAAAAAATAGTAAAACCAACACACTTGCTTATTTCTGCTATGCGGGTCCCATGAAGAATTATTAAAAGTAACTGTGATTTTATTATTATTGTCAATGTTAGGGTTTATTACTATTAATTTTTTTTCACTTATTGTCATTGTTTTTTAATTACTCTCAGTGTATTGTATTAATGAACGATAGTAGATAACATCTGCTTTTATTATTGTCAATACTAGGGTTAATTACTATCATTTTTTTTCCATTTACCGTCATTGTATTTTTAATTATTGTCAATGCTAGGATTTGTTAGTTAATTACTGTCATTGTGTTATAACCTACGGTATAACCTGCGGTGGGGTATATAAAGTAGGAGAGAGGAAGGGAGAGAGGATCCTCATTGATGTGTGAAAACATATAAAAATAGAAAGAGGAAGAGGAAGGAGATAGTGGAAAATAATGTGGAAGAAAAAGAATATGATGTGTCGATAGGAGATTAGAGAAAGAGTAAAAGAGAGGATATAAGTTTCCTCTTCAATAACCTTGCTCTCAACGGGGATTGGCCCCTGAAAGATTTTTGGGGAAAAAATTGCAGTAGGTAAAGGCCCAATAAACATAAACTGATTGTTTTTTTTTTTTCTAGGATGGCTAAATACAGAGTATATATACTAATCTACTGCTATAACTTTCCAAATCCCAATAAAGCACTAATGACAACCCTTTTCCCTCTTTTACTAGGCTCATTCTTTCCTTATCAAACAGTAAATTGATAAAGTATTTGCACCTTGAACAATATCAGGTTTTGTTTTAATTCGTTTTACTTAAATCATTGATGGATGTTATTGTTATGAACTATTCCGTATTTTTCAATTTTTTGTTTTAATAATTTTTCGGTTTTCATTTTTTGATTTTTTTTTTTTTTTTTGGCAATTAAATTTCTTTGATATATTGATTAATTTGAGCACTCAAAAGCAAATTTATATTTTTAATAGACAAGATGTTATCGAGGTTACTAAATTGCTCACTTGAAAGTAAAGAGTACGTTTTTTGCCGTCGGTATCCTGTTCTTTATTTCTTCACTAATATCTATCAATTGACAACTTGTTTTTAATTTTTTCAATGCTTAAATTGGTGAATTGTGATGTATTGATGATAAATAAATTAAGTCACTTATGAACGTACAATTATCCTAGAAATTATTGGCCACTACTAGAAATGACCCATTTTCTAATGGACAAAATCCATCGGTAAAAGTATAAAAAACCATCGGTATCTCGTTTACCGATGGATGTCATCAGTATTTTGGCCATCTGATAATAATACGTCGGAAAAATCGAAAATATCGATGGAAAAGTCATCGGTAAACTTAATACCGATGGTTTTACCGATGGCTACAAACTATCGCTACCTTTTTAAATACTGATGGCAATAGCCATCGGTAATTTTTTAAAAAAAAAATTAAAAAATAAAATAAAATTAAAACCCCTACCCACTGCCCCCTACCCCGACCTATCCCCCAACCCAAAACCACCTTCCACCTAAAACCACCACCACCATAATCCACCTTCCACCCTAAATCACTTACAGCCACCACCTTAAAACAACTACGAGTACCCACAACACATACCACCAACCACCGCAACCCAAAAAAAAAAAAAGAAAAAAAAAATTAACAAAAATCAAACATATACCCAAGAATAAGATTTAACCAAACAACCACGAAAATTAAAGAAAAAAAACAAATATACCCGAAAAATTACTCCAAATCTAAAGCAAAAATTTGTCAAATTCGACTAAACTCCAAAAAATCAGCAAAACCTTCAACAAATTATACACAAAAATTAACCCACAAAACAACCCAACAAAAAAACCCACAATATTAAGCAACAATGAACGAAAATAACCAAAATAAACCCAAATTAAACAACGAAATCAAAATTTAACCACACAAAAACGAAATTAACCTACAATATGAAACAAAATCAACATACCTTTTGATATTTCACCTTTTTGGGGTTTAAATGGTCAAACTCGACCATGAAAATTCCAGATCTGAAATTTTCATGGTTGAGATTGACCAAAAAAAAACGTAGACTTCGATTTAAAAATGAATGCTTGTGATTGTGATGCTAGTAACCACATAACTTCAAATAAAAAAATCAGTAGATCGTTATGGTTAGAGGTGGGCATGGGCCGTGCCGGGCCGCCGCGGGCCGTGACTGGTGGTGGCTCGTGCCGGGCCTGCTTCTTGGCGAGTCGTGCCGGGGCGGGCCTCCATTTGGCACACCCCAGCCCACGGCATGACCCACGTACTTGGCGTGCCATGCCAGGCCGGGCAGCGGGCCGCCTACTTTTTTTTAAAAAAAAATCGATATATTTAAATATTTTATTAATTTATTTTTTTATTATTATATTATTATTGTTCTTTATATTTTTCTTATTTTTATTATTATAGTTCTTTTACTTATTTATTATTATTTATGTTATTTTTATTATTAATATATTATAATTTTTTTATTTTTTATTATTATACATCTTTTTTATTATTTAACAAAAAACAACAATGCATAAATTAAAAAATTGACTAGTGCGATAACACTAGAATTGATGAATAACTTATTTTATCATAGCCAGTACGATAAATCGATAATACAATAATTGATAATGATAAAAATCGTACAATAATTGATGAATAACTTAACTTTAATGCTTATTTTATTATACGGGGTTCGATAATACAAATAATAGCTATAATTAATAGTATGTAATCTAATTATTCTTCTTGTTCGTCTTCGTCTTCTTCTTCTTGTTCAAGTTCATCGACCAATTGAATTCATTGGGAACTGGTAGAACCCAACGTTCCTTCATCGTCGTCGTTTTGTGCATAAGTACGATCTTGGGAGCGAGTTTCGGCATCCAACCAATCCTTGAAACAAACACACATTTCAAGTGTTTCGGGTTTTAGACTTGTTCTTCTATCGTCTTAAACCCTTCCTGACGCACTAAAAGCTCTTTCGGAGGCAACGGAGGAGACTTGGATAGCAAAAATATCACGAGCCATTGCTGCCAAAATTGGATGTTTCGTGCCTTTTGATTTCCACCAATCAAGGATGTCGAGGCCGTACTTCTCTTCGTCGTCCATGCCTTTCATGAAGTCGTAACTTAAGTACATTTGCAACTCCGAAACATCACTTTGTGTTCTCCTAGGTGATGATTCACTACCTGAAAACTTAGCACTACAAGAAAACAGCTTGATTCGACGGAAAAAATCCGTCGAAAACATCGGAAATTCAGTCGGAAAATGGTCTTCCAACGGAAATCCATTGGAATCAGTCTATCGCAAAACCTTTTGTAGGAAATTTGACCTTTTCCACGGAATTCTGTCGGAAGGATAGTTTCCAACGGAATTTCCGACAAATTTATTTCTGTCGGCGCTTTTTTGACTTTAATTGAAATTCCGTCGCAATTTTCTGACGGAAATTTCCGTCGGAGTTGGAGAGGTTTCCGACGGAAATTTCCGTCGGAAGAGGTATAATCCAACGGAATTTTCCGTTGGAAAAGGTATATTCCGACGGAAATTTCCGTCAAAAAATGTTGGAAAAAAAATGAAAAAAAAAAACCCACCTCACCCTAACCCACAACCTTAACCCACCAGACCCAGACCCAGACCCTAACCCACCAGACACACCACCGTAACCCACCAAACCTATACCCACCAGACCTACTACCGTAACCCTTAACCCACCTAACTCTAACCCACAAGAAACCACCAACCGTAACCCTAACCGAAATTAAACCAAATCCACCAACCACCACTGACACCACCCATACCAACCCCTATCCCACCCTCACACACCACCACACCAAAATTTTACCCCAAAAAATCGAAAATTAACCCTAAAAAAACATAAATTAGGCCAAAAATACGAAAATTAACACAATAAAATCGAAAAATACCACACATTCATATCAAAATCAGTAGATCTACATATTTAATTAGAATTTCATTAAAAAAATTTAAAAAAAAAACGATAATTAAACAACAAAAATTAAAGGAAATACAATTATCTAATCAAATTTATAATTAACATTACAATTACATAAAAAACTAACTAGATCTACAATCTAACCTAAATTAAAACTAGATCTACAAAACAGAAACCTTGAGAGTGGGTGACGGTGGTTGTTACGCCGTTATTGTTGGTGTTGATGTTGGTTGTCGGTGGTTGTGGTTGTTGTTGTTGACGGTTGAAGCCTTGAAGGTAGTCGTTGTTGTTGTTGATGGAGATAGAAATGGAGGATGGAGGA